TGTTTAATGCATTTTTGGTTCTATGGGGACGCCAAGGTTGTTATTGAGAAGATTCAACAGCGGGATGCACGAGATTTGAGGGCGGGCGGATTTTGGAGGAGATTGAGGGTTTGAGGAGTCAGTATCATGATTTTGGTGTTTCTTTTATTGGCAGGGATGACAATCGGGTGGCTCATGATGTGGCCAGGAAGACCCTCTCTTTGTTACCTGCAGTTGTCGAGAGTTTTTATTTTGATCGTTGGTTACATTTTGGATTGTAAATATTGATATCTTCTGATTTTGGTATGCATGGGTTGGGATGCTCTGGCTGGTGTCATCCTTGGTGAGATTCGCATTTATTTAGGTTTAGTGCCAAGAAGCGACCTTGGTTTGTTAAATTGTTAAAACGGCTCATTTTTTTATAATGGTGAAGAACTATAATTAAATGAAAACCGAAGAGTAGTACATAAAAGGAACCCACAAGCAGTGGGACACGAAAAAGCAGAGCGGCACCAGAGAAAACAACCTCTGCGCTGCGGAGAAAAGAGAAGCTAAAGGGACAATGGAAAACACTTTCGAGAGACAGAAGAAAAGAAGCAAAAAGAACAAAGGAAAGAAGAGTGGCAGGAGGCAAGCCAAGGAGCAAAACCAGACAACATTATTCCTCACTGCCCAGCAGCAGCCTCCCAATTCGCGAAGCGATCCTGAATGAAGCGCGCCCCTTGCTGTTTGTCAATCTTCTTGTGCGCCAAAATCCAGTCAACAATATTCCTGGTGATCTTCTTGGTGACAGTCAAAGGTGGGCAGCAAGATTCCTGGAAAATTCTCTGATTTCTCTCTTTCCATACAAACCAGCAGATCGCATGAATGGCACATGCTGTGAACCAATCCTCAACGCCTTCCGGATTGGGATCATAGTGGTCGATGATGTTTGAAATGTCTCCCAAAGATAAGTCAGGACTAACAATGTTTCTGAACTTAGGTCACACAATTCGCCAGGAAGGGGTCGGCGCTCCCGACTTGGAGCGCGAAAACGCGAATTTGAGGGGATTCGAAGAAAATTCACGAATTAATGTTTGTTGGAGCGCGAATTTTGTAAACAAATTCGCGAATTTATTTCACAGAGACAGTGGAAGAGGAAGTGGCAACAATAATGACTGCCGAGATGGTGAAGGAGATGAAATCGGCGATTGGGTTGATGGAGAAAGGCGGGAAGAGGCTGAGTCTCTGCATGCAAACCGAAATGAGTTTACCGATTATAGAGATCTTGAAACATGTGTAAGAACGCGAATAAGAGACCTCCTAGAATGTTCGGTGGGAGGGAGAGGGAGGCGGTGGCGGCAGCGGCAACGGGGTTGGCAGTCTCCGTCGCTATCACTACGATGAGAAATCTGGCGGTGGAGTTGAAAGAAGAGATGAGTGTGAGGGGTTTTCGGTAATGCTTCCCTGCGATGGGGAAATGGAGTGTCGAAATTTGACCATGCTCAATTTAGGGATTTGGAATTTTACAGAGAAAAGGGAGAGTTGGAGAAGAAAGATGCGAGGAAGAAGACAGAATGAGGGAAATAATTCCTTCTTGTTTATCTGTACTTATTTGTGGGCTCCAAATAGATACTAAGCAATAGTAAAAACCAAAGCCCACTTTTAATGAAACCAATCGCACCAAACGTAATGACTAATGAGAGGCCCAAAAGTTGGCTCTATGACATTATCTTACAGTAGGTATGGAGTTAATTTGTAGTTTAGTAATACAACTTTGTTCCTTTGTCCAAAATCTGTTAGTATATTATGTAATATATTTATTAAAAAAATAATATGAACGCTTTCTAGGCGCTCTCAAAATATAATTCTCGTAAAATAGACGCTTTCGCGCTCTCGCTCCCGCTCTCGCTCCCGCTCCCGCTCTACGAATCGGTGAGCTAAATCTGAACACCTCTTCCCACACTCGTCTGGTGAAGAAGCACTCCACCATGATATGATTAATTGATTCTTCTTTCATGTAACAGAGGACACACCTATTGGCCAGCTGCATACCTCGCTTCTTCAAGTTGTCAAGAGTGAGGATCTTCTTGTGCCAAACAAGCCACAGAAACCCACAAACTTTTTGTAGGAATCACGCTTTTCCAAATGGATCTGTACTTGAAGTTCTCATTCCCATCAAATTTGCCATCCACAAGAAGCCTGTAAAAAGATCTGACAGAGAACAAACAATTTGTATTCGGATTCCACACCATACGGCTTGGACTATTAGTGATTCTGTAGGTATTGGCTAACACTTTGTCTAAACAACCTACTCTCTCAATTTCAGCCCCACCCCTCAAAGAAACGGAAAAAGAAATTTCACACACAAAATCATCACCTGATCGGGATAAGGAGTCAAGCAGGCTAGCATTAGGATGAGCAGCAACAGCAGCAGCCCGTGGAAAAGAGTTGGCCAACAAGACGCCTGGGATCCAGACATCGTGCCATAAAGAGACAGCAGCGCCTGAACCCGGCTCGACAGAAGCACCTTGCCAAAACAGGTCACCCACCTTGCTAATATTCGCCCAAACAGAGCTGTTGAACCCATCCCCAATCCTTTTGGTTTTCCATTCCGAAACAGAACTAGAGTATTTTACACTAATAAGCTGCCTCCACCAACTTTCTCTGTCCGTGGCATATTTCCACAACCACTTCCCAAGCAAGGCATTATTAAAGCTTTCGAGGTCCACCACACCCAAACCCCCCCCCCCCCTATGCTTTGACGCTTTACAAAGATCCCATCTAATAAGATGAAATTTGTTCTCCTGGTTCCCGCCACATCAGATGAACCTCCTTTGAATCTTTTCCAACATGTTCAGAACTGTTTTGGGAGCTTTCATCAAAGAAAAGTGGTAGACGGACAAACTGTTGAGGATGGATTGATTCAAGACAAGCCTAGCACCCAAGGAAAGAAATCTGCTCCTCCACCTCTGCAGCCTATTGTTATATTTACCAATCACAGGATTCCAAATAACAATAGAATTCGGGCGATCCCCCAAAGGGAGTCCGAGGTATTTCGTAGGTTCACTACTCTAGTTGCAACCAAAAATTGCAGCAAGAAAGCTAGAGTCGGGGACATCACTAACAGTAAACATCCTAGACTTGTCAAGGTTGATTTTGAGCCCCGTGACCGACTGAAAACAAACCAAATTTGCGAGTAGATTAAGAACCTGATCAGCAGAAGCATCACAGAAAATAAGGGAATCATCTGCGAAGAGGAGATGAGTAACCTCGCCTCCTCCACAACTCTCGTCCATGAAGAAACCGGAGATACCATTTTCTCCCCGAAGCTTCGAAATCATAAATGACAGAATGTCCATAACCAAAACGAAAAGCCCAGGGGAGAGGGGATCGCCTTGCCGAACCCCTTTACTAGTCCGAAAGTAACCATAGGCTTCCCCATTAACAAGGATGGACGTCATAGGAGAGCAAAGATCGCCTTTAATCCACTGCTTCCATTTGCTTGGGAAGCCCAGATTATCCATCACGCTGAACAAACACTCCCAGCTGACATTATCGAAAGCCTTCTCTATATCTAGTTTGATCATGAGACCTGGCTTCTTACTCTTTCTTCTGTTGTCAACCAGCTCGTTTGCGATGAGAGTAGCCTCAGAGATGTGTCTCCCACGAACAGAGGCATGTTGATTTTGAGTGACCAGCTTAGGGAGAACATAGCTCAACCGCTCCATCAACACCTTACTCACCAATTTATTAAAACTGTTCATTAAACAAATCGGCCGGAGATCTTTGGCGCTTTCCACAACATCCACTTTCGGAGTCAGACATATAAAGGTGTGAGTAATGCTATCTGGCAAATAACCTGTATCATGAAAATCCCCAAAAGCCTGCACCACCTCATTTTTACAGAGCATCCAGCATTTCTTGTAAAATTCAAAGGTAAACCCGTCCGGCCCGGGGGCCTTAGAACCATCACTCAACACCAAAGCATTCCAGATTTCATTCTCACTAAATTCCCAAATCAAGTTGCTGCTTTCTTGTGAGGACAGTCTAGAGGAAAAATATCTTCGTGGGAAAGGTCTGCAAAAAGTATGGCAGGTTGTGATATGTTCTTGTCGCGTCAAATGTTTACGAGGCTCGACTTTGTTGTTTGTTTTCGAAGTAAGCATGTTATGTTGTAAGCCTACAGTTTTTTGTATTATACTATTTTCATAGTGATCTAATGACAAAAAAAAATAGCAAAGCCTATTTTGGGTGGGTAGATTCTAAACCCAATAACAAAGGTCAGGATTTTTTTATCTTTAGTAAAAATAAAGAAATTGTTTAGAATTGAGGATATCCAGGTCCCTCCACCCAGGCGTGGACATGGACGAGTGTCGTCTTGTACGACAATATCACGTCCTGCTATGTATATTGACCGAGCTGGATGGTTCGTACCACCTGCTCGTGAGGAGTCAGAGAGCTCCGGGACTGGACAGAGTAGGGGAGGACATTCGAGTGGCCCTCTACCGTGGGAGCTTGTTGGTGAGTGTCCTGGTGGACCTACGGATCCTAGCCTCATTAGGAGCTTCCGTGGCCACACTGCCTATGCGCTTTGGACGAAGATTGCAGATCGAGGGGTCATCAGTTGCTACAGTCGTACATTGGCGATTGAGTATCTGGGTAGCTACGTGTTTACGCATGTTCATGCGGAGGATCTGGTTCAGCAGTCAGGTCTCTAGCACCTGATCTACTCTATGTTCCGCAAGATAGCGATTGGCGAGGCTTTGATCTCAGCTTTTTTGGAGAGGTGACAGCCAGACACGAACACCTTTCACTTGCCTTTTGGAGAGATGACGATCCTCCTCCACGATATTTAGTACTTACTGTAGATTCCTGTTGAGGGACGGCTGATGAGTAGGACTTCTGTGCAGTGTGACCATCCGGAGGTGGGTTTGTGTGCGCTTCTTGGGATGAACTCGGATCAGCTGAGTAGTCGATCGGAGGCCCCTGGATATGTTAGTAAGGGTAAGTGGTACGACAAGGGTGGTTTTCTTGCGGAGATGGCGTCTGAATACTTGCAGGCGAACGAGACACATGTGACAGAGGCACAGTCGTACTTGTTGTTGCTGTTGGGGTCCACTTTGTTTGTGGACAAGAGCAGAGACAGGGTTCGGCTGGTGGTGAACCTATTTTTGGACGATTTGGAGGAGGTAGATCAGTACAGTTGGCCTTCCGGTACACTTGCTTGGTTGTACAGATACCTTGGTAAGGCTTCTCGAGTTGGTGCCAGGGGGTGGCTGGTTGTCTCACACTTGAGCATTATCGACGAGCCGACAGGGCACTGCACGGAGTGCAGGATGTGTGGACTGAGTACTGGGTCTCTTAGGGACTCCCCCTTCCAGGGGATTTTTTTGATGTGCCCAGTTATTTTCAATCTTGTCCTGGCCTATCCAATGCCTCTTCCTATCCAAGTGCAGTCTTAGTCTGTTTTTTTTATGTTTGGATCATTTATGATTTGTACTATTTGTGTTTAGATCAAATGTTTATGTTTAGACTGCATGTTTGCATATTTATGTTTAGATCGGATGCTTAACTACTAATGTTTGGATCGGATGTTTATGTTTAGACTGCATGTTTGCATATTTATGTTTAGATCGGATGTTTGACTACTTATGTTTGGATCAGATGTTTATGTTTAGACTGCATGTTTGCATATTTATGTTTAGATCGGATGTTTGACTACTTACGTTTGGATCGGATGTTTGCATACTCATGATTACAACATCGAGGGTAGATAATGAAATCAAGCCTCGAGAATAGCTCCCCACTCCGCCACATTAGGATGTGCTAGCCCATACCAAAGTGGATGCAGAGGGGGTATGGGAAACTGATCCTGGTTGAAGTACAATCGAATGTAGTGGTTGTTCACATAGTGTAGTGATAAGAACATGGTTGGTGGAAAAGTATTTGGGTCCGCATCAATAGGCAATATAGTATAGGCATCATCGTAGCGGTTGGGTAGTGGACGGTTTGCATTATTGACATCATAACTGGTATGAGAAGACCATGACTGCGATATTGTAGATGGTGGCTAACACGAACAAGTCCTCAGAATCCATCCATCGCCCTGGTGGTGCATGACCCACCTCGAGCCAATTGATGCGTTGAATGTGAGTTGATGGGCCACCATTATACAAGTTCTCGTACTTCCAGAAATGTTGTTGGATTTCTTGGGCAATCGTCGATCTCATGAGCAGATAGTGACTATCACCCCCATAAATACAATGAGAAAGTGCCCTAAACCCACAATGGTTGTTTGGACTAGGGTTGAAATCGCCTACCAGCAAAGGTCGAACAAACACTGGAAAAAGCTCATCGATGTAAGAGTAAGAATATTTCCCCGGGGGCTCTGGGATGAGTAATCTACAAAAATATACCAAACGGTGACAATTACTTGGACAAAATTTACAAACATAAACCAATTACTACTAGATGGACTATAATATTAAACCAATTACTCACCTGTATCATGCTCGTCGGATTCACCTCCACTCGATCGCTCCCTCCCTCCACTCGATTGGGATCTGCCTCCACTCAATCTCCCCCTGCCTCCACTCGAACCAGGCCCAGTACTCCTCGAACGAGACCGCTCATAATATGAACGAATGCGACTGGTGCTTGTTCGAGGCTGCTCTCGGATTCTCATTCACTTTCGGTTCCCTCACATTGCCCTCTACTGGGTGAAGCCCATAGAATAGGGCATCTCTTGCTTGTCTCACTGCTTCGGGACCTCTTTCTTCCACCTCAACAGTAAGACGCCTAAAGTGTTGTCGTCGAAACTCAATTTCATCACTGACTTGTTGTTGAAATGGGGGGGGGGGGGGTTTATAATCCAAAGTAAGCCAGAATACATGCAACTCTTGAGCATAGAATTGAATTCCTTCTTCCTTAGTTTGAACAACCTGGAAAGCACACTTGAGCCCATGTGTCATCTGAACATGACACGCACAACTGTCCACCAACTCTGCCGCCCCATCTCACATCAGTTTGATTGCCTCAGAACTAACGACCCTCCTCAAAAACGTGCACATAGCCTCAATTGCCCCACTCAGATTGCGGTTCAGTGACTTGTGCAGTTCATTCACCACTTCCAGAAATTGATGTTCCATGTAGTTGTGGTTCTTCGCAAAACAAGTGTCAATTGCTCCTCTACCAGACACAAGGAAAGTCTTGAATGAAGAGTGAGATGACTCAATTCTATTTGATCTTGTGTTACCAAGATGAAACACAGGGTTCGTGTAGCACTTTGCCCACATTGTCTGATGAGGAAACCACTCACCTCGCACGTAGTCGACCATATCTATGTTCTTCTCGGTCCAGACCCTCTCAAACTCATTAATCTTTTGAAGAAAACCATCCTGAGTCCAACTCCATGCAGCTTTGTCGAAATATTTCTTTCATACCGTCTGTGCTACCTCTCTTTGTGCAATTTCACCCAATAATTGCTCAAACTTTTTCTTCACACAGTTGTTGACGTGCCATAAACATAGTAGGTGGACAGTATGTGGGAGAGGGAAGACCACATGAACAGAAGCAAGCAGACCACCTTCTTTGTCTGTCACAATGACATTCAGAACTGTATCACCGAGCAACCCTTTAATACATCGCAACAACCAATCATATGTTTCCTTTATTTCCTGCTTAATAATTGCACATGCAATGTTGAAATTCTTCTTGACAGGAGCAACCCCAATAATCTCAACCCATGGCCAGCCGTACCTATTCGTCTTGTAGGTCGAGTCGATGAGGATGACGTACGACCATGCATGCAACATCTGAATGGACGTCGGGTGGGCAAAAAACAGATTAGTGAGCAAATTATTGGCGTCCTTTTGTAAACAGATATGGTATCCACGCTGTTCAGCTCCGTGAAACGCAAACTGTATCGCATCCATTTCACCCATCTCATCCAATCTTGTCTTGTAATTTCTGTTGTACATCTGTTTGATATCATGATGCACACTCCCTTCAGTATTGAGTGTCGTCTTCTACTGATTTGGTCTCACCCCTGCCTTTCTCATTACTATTAACCTCTCTTTTCAGCCTCACTAAACTGTTTGTTGTGTCGGTGATGTTCTGGATACAACATGTTTTCGTGGTTGTGAAACCCTCTATTAGCTCTGGTTACACGACTTGTCACACATACTATGACCCATGTGTTTGGACCATTGTCTTGCCATACTTCCTTAATACATATATCTGAACTGGCAACCAGTACCCTTCAAACTAATATTCCCACGCGTCTCCTTCGTAGGGTCTGGTTTATAAGACCTAACGATCCTACTGTTTCTGTCACAAAACATACAGAGGGCAGTAACAAGATGTAGTGCTGCAGTATTCGATTTCCATGCTCCTCTAATAATAAAGAACCCACACTCCTGAGCGATTGCTTTTGCAGCTAACTCAGCTAACTGCACACTTGCATAATGAATCTCATTCTCAAATTCTTGTGTGTAATCATGATCGGTCGGTAACTACTCTGACATTTTTCCTACAATTACAATATAACACATCAATATTCCTGTGAACCTAAACGCTAATTTCAAGTCTTGACCGCTAAATTCAACTCCTAAACTCTAAATTCAACTCTTAAACGCAAAATTCAACTCCTAAACTCTAAATTCAATACTTACACGCTAAATTCAACTCCTAAACTATAAATTCAATTCTTGCACGCTAAATTCAACTCCTAAACTCTAAATTCAATTCTTACACGCTAAATTCAACTCCTAAACTCTAAATTCAACTCCTAAAATCAAATTTTTTTGAAAAATTCCAAACACAGACTGTTGGCCGAAAATTTCCGGCGGCCGTAACTAGGCAGGGCCGACGGAAATCGGTGGCCGGAGCCAGGCTGAGCCGAAAACATTTTGTGGCTCAGCCTGGCTCCGGCCACAAATTTCCGTCTGCCCGGCCTAGTTCCGGTCGCCATAAATTTTTGGCCCGACCAGGCTCCGACCGCCGGAAAATTTCGGCCTGCCGTCTGTTCATCGGAAAAATTGTTCGAAACTACAAAAAATTGATGCACCTGCTTAGTGATGATTCATGGATGCGTGTCCGCAGTTTACGTCGAGGTTCGACTTTCCCGATGATTTTTTCGGCGACTTTTCCAACGAGTGTCAATTATTTCTAATTCAGTACGTTTTCTGAAAGTTGGATATGTTGTAGATTGTAAAACTCCTTAAAAAAAGATGTACATATATACTTTTTTTTTTTGTTGACGACAAATAGCAATTTGGTTGGCGGCAAATAGCAAGCCCCTATTTTTACTATTATTAATCATTTGAAATTATGATTAACTGATATACCGATTATATCGATGAAGTAAAAAGACCACAAATCAGAGGTAACATATTAAACACGTTTGATGACATGGAGGAGTTAGAGTGCTAACTCTTATAAGAGTTAGCACCATCCTAACCACTTTAATCACTGTTAATTGATTTTTAGTTAATTTAAACGATTAGAAGCAATAAAGAGCATGTTTGGTATTTCTGAAAATTTGAATTTATTAAATAAATTACATTTTAATCATCTCTCTTCTCCTTCACAAAACGTGAAAAATACTACTAGAAAACCACTACTAGTTAAATTAGCAGTGATTTAAATAAGATGTTGTATTGCAGTGATTTTATGATAGTCAGTAGTGATTTTGTTGTTATTAGTAGTGTTTTTTAATTAACAGAACCTAATAATTTTTAGATAGAACACTAATGTAAATAAAGAACCTACTACAAAGAACAAATATTGCTACTAATATACAAAACACTACTAATACTTTAACAAAAATATCGTTGCCGAACAACTGAATACAAAAAAATGACTACTGGTACATATAAAAGAACACTAAAACACAATCACTACTAACCCGATCAATCCTAATAAAATAATAATATAGATTCGTGAGTGATTGACGGTGAAGGCATCGGTGGTGGGAAGCCACCGGAAGTAAGGGCGGCGCAGGCTTGTTTATCTTTATCGAACAAATGTCGTTCCCCAGATCTGGCTTTATTTCCTCTTCCGACATCATTTTACGACTCGCCTCCTCCCCAACCGCAAGTGTTGTGGTTTTTATCGAATCGGCGACAGAGGTGAGGCCGACAAGTTGAGAGCAGCGCATGGTAATGACGAGGCGGTTGGGGGATGAGGCAGTTGCAGAGGCGCGGTTGCGGACGAGGCCGACACGACTAAGGTCGACGTAGGTGTAGTCGAACAAGAAGGTCAATCGGCGGAGATGAGAGTTTCTTGAGAGAGAGAGAAGAAGAAGAGAATATGGGGTTCTGTTCTTTTAGAGAGAGAGAGTGGGAAAAGTGGTCGGTCGGGAAGAGGTTGGTAAAAAAATCCTATGTTTATTAGGGTTTAATGGTTAATTGACTAGATTATCCTTTATTTAATTATGACACTAGAATTACTTTTTAATCTGATGGTTATTAAGCCAGTTAATACGGTGCTAATCCCATTCCTGACATTAGGGCTGGGCATGCGGGCGGATCATCCGCGGGTTTGGACAGACCCACCCGCATTTGACCCGAATTTCGTTAAGTGGGTGGGTCTGTGGGTGGGTGACGGGTTGCGCTGGGAGCCATCCGCCGGGTGGTGGGTGGGTTATGGGTGAGTGTGCGGGTGACCCGCTCAACCCAACAACAAAAAGATCAAAGTCGTTGGCGCTAGAGAGAGGAGAGTGGAGACGTTAGATATAAACTCGGACTGCTCTTGGAGTTTAAACCTCAAAGTCAACCTTCCAAATAGAGATCCCCTCTTCTTCCCTTTACTTTTTCCTCTAATTCTTGTGCCTAGATCACCGCTCTTTCCTTTGTGGAATTATTTTCCTTAGTTCCTTGCACCTAATAATCGTCTCAATCTGTAGAAAACTCTTTCATAATAGAATTTCTATCCAATTTAAGAACTAATTCGACATTTTTCGCCCTATTTCAACTTCTTGTTTCCCTCGATGATTTTCTTCGCCTATTATCATGTCAAGTTGACTCCTTTATATTATATACATTGTGATGTGGGTGAACCCACAAACCCACCCGCATCATCCACCTTCCGCCCGACCCAACCCGAGACTAAATGTGGGTGGGTGGTGGGTTAAAAATTATCAATCCGTTTAAGCGCGGGTGGGTGCATTTTATGGTCAAAATCCACCCGACCCACCCAATGCCCACCCCTACCTGACATGATTGTTTGAGTATCGTTATAATAATTAACATAAATTAAGAAGCTTATCTTATAAGTTATACAATTAATATCATAAAATAAAATTTATCTTACTGGTTAGAAACTTTACACTATAATAATAATAGGAGACTTGCAGGTTGTGTGTTCGAATTCTAGTAATGATTATTTATATTTGTTTATTTTTAATTAATTTCAAGTTAAAAAATTATAATGAAAGTAACGTGGGAAATCAAGGCCAACATAGACGCATGAGAGTTGAGAAAATTTGAAATGATGAAGTCTAATTTGGGAAAGTGTATATTATATTATTATTAGTTTTTACTGGATAATTTTGTTTCATCATTCATGAATTAATTTAACTATATAGTTAAACTCTTTTGGATCTCAATCCAAGATATTCACTTACATTATCGAGGTTTCAAGTCTAAACATGATCCTTTAGTGTATAATTTTCTATTTTTGAATGTGTATTTGCTAAAATTTATTTATCTTTGATGTTTGTTCCTAAACAAAAATTCCATTGATTTATTAATAATTTGATAAAGTGAGACTAAAACACAGTTAATTAGATTTCAGGTGCAATTAAAATGACCTATGCTTTAATGATTAATTTATAGTTTTTTGTTATGATATTAAGAAAAAACAATGTGACATTCCACATGCATTCGGATTCTTGAATGTATAGTAGACAAATTTATTGTTAATATCCAAACTTATATATAAAGAGTTTATTTTAATTTATAACCTAATGAATATCTGTGAAGTTGAACTCAACTAATTAACTGGAATATGAAAACAAATTTTGTGGATAGGATAACTCGATGTAAAAACGAATTATTTATTACAAATGAAAATATTTTCGTTTTGGGACTTTGATATCGAAATGTTTACGTCATTATCTAAACATGGTATTGAGCTACAGGCTCGCAACCGTATAACAAAATGTCTTCTTATAACTATCTTACTGAACTCATACTTATTAAATGTTCTTCATTTCTAACTCAATACCTTGGTTTAAATTCCCGTAACTATAGAAGTTTTTGGCTAACACATCGTCCTCGAATTTAGTATCGTCTACCAAGATATTTATCTATTAAACGAAAATTGGCAACTAGTATTTTATCAATTGCATAGGTCAGTGAGTGATGAGACGTAATGTTGATCGTACATCTTTAACAAAAATTTCTGTAACTTTCACATGTGTCATTTTAAAAATATCTTGTGTCTCGTCCTATGATATAAAGTCAGAGTTCGTCAACAATCATACTTGAGTTATTTTGAAATCTTCGACTAATAGCTTCAAGTTTGGAAACAAAATTTCTTACGTACCACTTAGAACCTCAATATATATAGCTTACTAATCAACATGATGGATAGCAAATATTATTAGTGTTACCTTATGATACATCATAAACTGAATAGCTAATTACTGGATTAGGCTCCTCTCCTTACTCCTTAGGGCCTGTTTACTTTCATTTCTGTTTCCTGTTTTTGAGAAAACGGATGTTGAAAACAGGTGAAAACAACATTTTGTCGTTTCCGAAAACAGCAGGAAGTTGCCACTTTCTGTTTTCATAGTTGGAAACGAATAGAAAACGGAATGAAAAGTAAACAAGTTTTCTCATTTCGGTTGCCAACTTTATGACATGAAAACAGAAAACAAGAAACGAAAATTAAAGTCAACATGGCCTTAGTCTTCACCTTATGTCAACCGCTCGCTGTAGTCGTCAAAATTAAATCTTTTTCATTTCCACAACTGCACAAATATTTATTTTGGAAACTCTTTCGTTCATGTAGCTCAGCTACTGAGTCACTGTCTCCTCGCAATTCCCCTGCTCTGATCTCCGATCAGGTAAACCCCCTTGCGGCCATTTCCTTGCCCCTCTTCTACGGTATTGGCTCTTCGCTTGCCATTTTTGACTCCTCCGGAGTTTTCCAGGATAGTATGTTTCTTTTCCGGGGGAATCTCTTGGCCGCCCGGTCGAATTCGTCCTCTCCTTCCTCTCTCCATCTCTAGGACTGGTAGAAAGTCTGGTTAAGCAGAACATGCAAAACTTCGTGTGATTCAGGGAGCTGTTGGCCCTGTTCCTGCTTCCGTGTGGTTGGTCTTGTGCTCGCCAAAGTTTTGATGATGCTCAATCGCATTTGTTAAAGATCGTAGTAGCCTTCAAATTGCTTAGCTTGAACTGTTGTTTACCCCGTTATTAGGTTTTCCTAGTGATGGGGAAGTTGTGGTGGTATCTGTAATTGATTTCGTCCGAACCCTAGGTGCATGTATGAAATACCAGCGGACAGAAGCTCATGCATTGGAGTTTTAAGACCGAGGGACATTTTATTGTGTTGGTTTCGTATAGAGAGGGTTTTGATAACTATGGTAGAGTGGTTCCTTTCTCCATTTGATGTTCGGAAATTCTTCAGCAGTTTGTGGAGTTCTGCATTGTCCTGATTAGAGTGGAGAAAAGAGATTTTTTTTTTAGGGAAGAGTGGGGAGGGAATGTTGTGATAACTCAAAAGCTATTATGGAGATTGACTCTACGTATTGTCCATGTTCTGTTTGATTTTCCTTCAGAAAGTGGCATGAGATGGCGTCTCCACAGCCTTCTCATAATGTGGAATTGGAGGCTGCAAAGTTTCTACATAAACTAATTCAAGAGTCGACCGATGAGCCGGCAAAACTGGCTGCGAAGCTTCATGTTGTGAGTGCTGCACTCATTCGAGGAACACTCCTCCACTTTTGTCTCATTTCCTACCCTTAAGTTTAGAACTGAATTCTGTGAATGATTATGCATTGCAGATATTGCAACATATGAAATCGAGTGGGAAGGAGCACTCCATGCCCTATCAAGTAATTTCAAGGTGAAGCAGACTACTAGTTAACATTAATATTATCCACATGCAACCTGGAAGCTTTTGTTCTGCTTTGGTTAGTCAATTAATTTAGTGGTAGTAATGGGGACCTGCATGAATACTTCATTCACACTGGGTAAGCTTATATTAGTCTGCTGTCAATTTTTTTCTAGTGGGTACTTATTCAATTCATAATCTCCAGTTTGCTTCATGCGCCTTGTCACGATGCATTTGTTTTTCTGTGTACTCTTTGCTGAAAGAGAGGGGTTCAATCGCCATGTCTTCTGATGTAACCTATAATTCTGTGTCACGTCTCATCTTTTGGGGTATTGCACAGGTGAGCCATGCACGGATGGTCCATTTTTCGTAACTATTTCGGGTTTCTCTCTATACTAGCCTAGTATCTTCCTTGATTGATGAGAGGAGCAACATGACTGATGAATTGGGGAAAAAATGATATAACAATTTGATTTTTGTGATAGTCATTATTGGGCAAGGGTACTCCCAACCTGAAGCTGATGGTTACTTGTGAACCTACTCTGAATAATAGAAATGCCATATGTGTGCATTAAATATCCACGTTTTTTATTCATCTAGATCAGGAATCAAGAGAAGTAGAGTACATTGACCATTTCTTTAAGTATACGTTTGACGTGTAATCTCTTTTTTATGTTTTCTTCGGGATTGTATTTTGTTGAACTTATATCTACAGATAATGTGATCACTTATGCTATGGTGAAAATGGTGAGTTGTTCATAGCTGTGCTAACATTGCCTTGTTGTTCTGTCAAGGGCTATGGAGACTGTTATCAACCAGAATGGCCTTGATATTGAATCTTTGAAATCTCAACGTCTTCCTATGTCTGGTGGGTCCCAAGGCGGAGACTCAACTGGTGCGCGTTATGCAGGTGAAACTTGTGGTGTCTGAATCAGTTTACGTGATAGTTTTTGCTTCCTTTTTTTCAAAATGACAATAATTTTTGTACTTTTTGTCATATTTTGGGAACACTGTGCAGGTCCTTCTCATGCTATGGCTGACAATGAGGTATCTAAGGTTGATTCCTTAGTCACCAACAAGCTGCTTGTTGCCCCTGGTGGTGCTGTCCATGATGCTTATCAGGGATCTCTTGATCATGAAAGTCCTTCGAGTTTGGATACCAGGTCTGCTAATTCACAATCTCAAGATAGAGGGGGAAATCAAAAGGATGGTAAAACAGCTGTCAAGAGGAAGCGGGGTGATTCTTCTTTGCCATCAGAGACTCATATCGATGACTCCCAACAGGTTGATGCTCATTCTGCAGTTGATATGAGGAAAGGAAAGGCCAACAGGGTTGACCCATCGGGGGTTTTCTCTACTAGGGGCAGTGAAAATAGTAGCTTCAGTATGGTTCCTGGTGGTAGTCAGCTGGAAGCTTCATCTAGACATACATCTTTCGGTCAACAGCAAGGGGGTTCTTTTCCACCTGCACATGAAAATCTCTCTTCCGGAACGTGGAATCAAAATAAGGCAGCTGTAGCACTGGATCGGTCTCAGGTCCCAAGGTTTTCGGCCAATGTTGTTTCTGGCGGTGTGCCAGCAGAAGCAACTTTGCAGCAGTCAATGGTACCATCTCTTGTATCAAGTAAGATCACTCAACAAATCATGTTGTGTTTTATGTTTTCTCTTACCACTTTTTTCTAATGTTATCCTTAAGCTTTGAACTTAGATTTAGTTTGAGGTTATCATCCACCACATTTGGGCTTACTCCTTGGGGCTTGGGGTATGCCTTTAATTGGCCAAGAATCAAGAGTGGTCCATCATACTGAGTCCAAACTTTCCCCCTTGAAGCCAGTCAAGTATTTTAGAGGAAAGAATAACATTAAGTTGTCTGTTGAACTTCTTGCTTCCTTTAAACTGCTTCATGCTGCTTAATTTTATACCATAGAAGACAAAAATAATAGCTTCTTCCTAACAGATTGCTGATTTGTCTAGCTGTCTGTGGGATTGAAACCTAAGGTTTCAATTTTAGATTTTTTAGGAAATCGCAGGATGGAATATCTGTTCCTTCTGGCTCGTATGCAATGGGGGAACTAGGATTTTCTGGTTCAGGGCAGATAAGTGGTCCTGAAAGTTACCTGTGTGGATTTGCAGGACATACTGCAGCAAGTCCCTCTGAGAATACCACTGGAGGGCATAATTTCCAACTTAACCGCATGGATGAGACATCCGCGCCGCTTTCAGTCGGAATGGTTCCAGAAAATAATGGAGGCAGTTCAAATATATTTGGAGACCCGACTAGGTTCAGTGAGGTACTCTAGCAATCTTCGTATAGAAACTCAACTTTGATTTGCAAGTCTGGAAATATAGAACTCATTTAGGATTTGGACAATTCAATTGCGTCAATTGCTTTAGATTCTGCTGGCATCTGTTTTCAATTTTGGATAGGAGTCTAGGGGGACTAAGTGTAGATTGTACTATGCCCTTAATTTTTTTGCCATTGAATGGCTGTTTCATCTTAACTTATATTAGTCAATGGTTTGGATCTTGAAGATGTGTCTTTTGTTGATTCTTGAATCAAATGCTCGTGCACTATGTTTTGGATGTGATTTTAGTAATGCATGTAATTATTACCAGGCGACAGCGGCTTCTAGAGATACGGGAAAATCTCCAATTTCTCAGGGTAATGCTTCACCTGGCATGCCTTTCAAGGAGCAACAATTGAGGCAGCTTAGGGCCCAGTGCCTTGTCTTTCTAGCATTTAGGTGCGCAAGACCTTTTGTGCTTGTGACTTCTTATGGCAAATGGAGGATGAGTTATTTGTTCACTTAGTTTTCTGCAATATTTATTTATTTGAATATGCAGGAACGGGCTGGCTCCCAAAAGGTTACATCTGGAGATAGCTCTTGGAAGTATCATTAATAGAGATGGTAAGAACGGCTTCTTGACTAGATGGCAAGGTCACTTGATAGCTCAGTTACCAAGCTCATGTTGCGAGCTTCAGTTGCTCCTACATGTATCTAGTGCTGCCAGATTCAGGCTACTATGTTTGGCTTGGGAAATATAAGATACTGAAAAGGATATTTTAATGTGCACTGCCAACTATGTGTTTGCAGAGCTTTGCCTTTCAAGAATATTCTGTGCCGCTGAGTCGGTCTTTAAACATAGCCCATCAGGGCCATCTTGGACTATGATACATATAGGCTATAGTATTTGTTTGATGTTGTTTTTTACCTCCGAAAATGTCAGTTGAGGAAATAGTTAAAATAAGTTCACTTTTAGTACGAGTATAAAATGTTGCAAAATCATGTATTCCAGGTCGCCTCCACAAATTTCTGTAAAAGGTACCTCCATGACATCTCTTTCCCCGCCCTTACCACCAATGAAAATTTTCAACCAAGAGTTTTGTTATTATAGTTATTTTACATTCACCCATTCCTTTTGCTACTAATAAGAATTTATTATTTGATCAACACTGCTTATAAAATCTAACCACTTTTACTCCTACAACTTAAGTTTTAGCTCTTAAAATTATACACAAGACGTTTTACACAGCCAATATAAAACTTCTGTCATAGCTTAATCTACACTACCCTTATAGTTTCTAGTTGGTAATTATCTAGTGCAATTGCAGAAGCTATTCGCAGGGAGCTGGTGGATCAGAAAGCAAAATCTTCTAATGAGCAAACCAACCTTCCAGGAGTTGCAAGGCCATTTGCATGGGCAAATAGTGCAAGGGAAACTGATAAGGTCCCTCCAGTTGCCTCAGCTGCTTTAAGATATTTAGATGGCAACTCTTTACAAAAAGATGTTGACAAATTGAAGACGGAGGACAAAGTAGGTTCACATTCTGACCATTCGGTACTCGCCGATAATGGGAAGCACCTTGTGACAAGAAAGCTGGATGCTGAGAAGCAAACTCAGGAAACTGTTGGGGCACAGTTGTTCGCTTCTAATCCAGTTCAGCAGGATGATTCATCGAATACTAGGGGCAGTTCACTAATTGGGAAAACTGTGGAAAGCATGGATAATGGATATGTCCAGAGTGGGAGAGCCAATCAGGCCTCTTTCTTAACTGGTGTAAACAAGCAATTGAACCCTGAGGCAATGAATTGGGCAGGAAGTCGTAATGAGGTGGTTCAGGAATCATTACCATCATGGGGTGTTCAGCATAACGTGGCTCTGAACAAAAAGGACAGTGGTCCTATGCAATCCCAAAATCTTGTCAACGGTGGTATCTCTGGTAACTAAATTGTCGATGATGGCTTCTTTTCGGTTCATTGAGGTTCATATGTGGCAAAACATGTGTACCATTTGCTGGATTATACCTTTGGAGGTGTTATCAGCAGTAGCACTTACCATGCATGTGTCATCACTTTTGGTTACTTGCAGATGATGCAGAGTTCTCTGAATATCAAACTAGATATAATCCAGAAGGGTGCCAAGTCCCGCAAATTGATGATTTTTCAAGAAATGGAAACCCTGCTTTAGCTGAACCAGATGATGAAGACAACTCAGCTTCTGTTCATTTGCCTCCCCCAAGGTACACCATGTCAGAGAAGTGGATTATGGATCAGCAAAGAAAGAAGCTTTTAGTAGAAGAAAAATGGGCCTTAAGGGAGCAAAAAGCAAGACAAAGAATAACAATTCGTTTTAACCAGTTACAGGTTCGCTATGATACTCTGTTCTTGTATTGTTGTTCTCTCTTGTGTACTTGTTGGTGCTTTCCTCATTTAGGTTTTAGTTTTTATTATACTTTTCTTTTTGTGCTAACAAAATTGGCTAGGATTTGAATGTTGTACTGATGTAGTATGGGCTTGCTTGTGCATGCCTCTCTCTGTTTTTTTTTTCTGCTTCTAATTCATTAAGGTAACTGTGAGCTCCTGTGAAGATATATCTGCCAGAACCAAAAGTGTCATAGAATTGAAAAAACTGAAGTTGCTGGATCTGCAGCGCCGTTTGAGAAGGTAAAGACTCTCCCCTTTCTTTCCAAGAGTTCACTCATTGGGTTCTTTCATGCATGTGTTAATTTGATGATTCCCTGCCTGTTGTTAATAATTTTGACTCCCTTTAACTCTATGGTGGTAAATTTTGGCAGTGAGTTTCTGAATGATTTTTTTAAGCCTGTCACAAACGACGTGGAGCGTTTAAAATCTTATAAAAAGCATAAACATGGTAGAAGGATAAAACAACTTGAAAAGTATGAGCAAAAGATGAAGGAAGAGCGACAGAAGAGAATCCGAGAGCGGCAGAAGGAATTTTTTTCTGAGCTAGAAGTTCACAAGTAAGGGCTTCAATTTTCTTCTTGGTTTGATTTCCTTTATCCTTTATAGATGAATATGGAGCTGTTATCTTTGTTCTTTGTAGCTCATTTTCGAGTTTCAGATAATGTTTTACTGACTAGCTGGTTGGCCTAACTCCAGGGAAAAATTGGAGGATGTGTTCAAGTTCAAGAGAGAAAGGTTGAAGGGTTTTAACAGATATGTAAAGGAGTTTCACAAAAGGAAGGAGCGTGCTCACCGTGAGAAACTTGATCGAATCCAGCGCGAGAAGATTAATTTGCTGAAGATCAATGATGTCGAAGGATATCTACGTATGGTGCAGGTCAGATGTTGTTCTCTGAAGTGGACCGAATCTTTGTTACCAGCTTTTTTATCAAGTTTGTTGCAATGTTAGTTGGTGGTTATTACGTAGGATGCAAAATCAGATCGTGTTAAGCAATTGCTGAAAGAAACAGAGAAGTACCTGCAAAAGCTGGGTTCCAGGCTACAGGCAGCAAAAGCTATTGGAAGCCGTTTTGAGAATAACATGGATGAGTCAAGAACTATTGTTGCTATTGAGAATGAAACTACTTTCGATAATGAAGATGAAAGTGACCAAGCAAAGGCAAGTCTCATATGAGCGATCTTGAGTTTGTGTTATATGTGTTTGGTTTCCATTCTCATTATTCCTGTTGTCTTCCAGCATTATTTGGAAAGCAATGAGAAGTACTACCTGATGGCTCATAGGTATATAAGCAGCCTTTGTTATCTTTATATTCTAAAATGTGTCCCCATTTTGTGTATTGTTGAGGATTGGTTTTCTTTTTTGTATTTTGGTTTGTTGTTTCATTAAACAACTAAACCATTCTTGTCTTTGCTCCTCTAGATTGTTCTTTTACTCTGTTTGTTGGAATATGGAGCTTCAACTTTTTCACATCCTGTTATTTCCCTGTCCTATCTTCCTTTGTTATAATTTTCCGATCAATAATGGTTGGCACTTGTTACGCAGTATAAAAGAGGGCATCGCAGAGCAGCCAACTTCTCTCAAGGGTGGAAAATTGAGGGAGTGAGTACATCATGCTTTCTTAGCTGTTTATGGATTCTTTTCTCTCTCTACCCCTGTATGTCTCTGTGTGCAAGCACTTCTGCGTTATGCATAAGTGTGTTGTTGGGGCAATGGATATGCCCTTGTCTCGTATGTTCAATTAATGTGCGAGGGTGATATCTTGTATAGATGCATGTGCTTTGTCATTCTGGGCTTACTAATATTTTATATTTCATAAATTGTCCTTATGTTCTTCAGGTACCAGATGAATGGATTGAGGTGGTTGGTTTCACTATATAACAACCATTTGAATGGAATTCTTGCTGATGAAATGGGCCTTGGGAAAACTGTTCAGGTATGTGGTTTGTGTGTAATACAATATGTCAGTTAGTTGCTATATCTCGAAAACTAATGACTTTCATTTCTACCATGCGCTTTGAGCAGGTCATATCTCTAATTTGTTATCTGATGGAGAGCAAAAATGACAGAGGTCCTTTCTTGGTGGTTGTGCCTTCTTCTGTTTTACCAGGATGGGAATCGGAAATTAGTTTCTGGGCCCCCAGTATACATAAAATTGTGTATTCTGGACCCCCTGAAGATAGGCGTAAATTATTTAAGTAAGTGCATGAGGACTCTTGATGTACTTGTTTTCTTGTTATCTTCTGTTGTGTCTGATCCCATATGTCATCAAGGTTGTTTCTGTTCATTTCAGGGAGAAGATTGTCCACCAGAAGTTTAATGTCCTTCTGACAACATATGAATACCTAATGAACAAGCATGATAGACCAAAACTAAGTAAAATTCATTGGCACTACATTATCATTGATGAAGGCCATCGCATAAAGAATGCTTCTTGCAAATTAAATGCTGAATTGAAGCACTATCAGAGTTCTCACAGGCTGCTGTTAACTGGAACACCACTCCAGGTACTGTGATAATTTTTCTTTTCCTCTTCTCCTTGAATTTAGCAATTTTGAATTTTGATTATGGCCTATAATTTAGGAGCTGTGTGCTTTCACTTAGGGTTTTTTGCTTTTGTCTGCTTCATGCATTATATCTGTCCTTGGCTTCTTGTTGGGGGGTTATGAATTGACTGCTTGATATTTTTCTCTTCTGCAGAACAATCTTGAGGAACTCTGGGCGCTACTAAACTTTTTGTTACCCAACATTTTTAACTCATCTGAAGATTTTTCTCAGTGGTTCAACAAGCCATTTGAGGGTACTGCTGATAACTCGGCTGATGAAGTAAGCCATTTAATTCACTGGTTCAGATACTGTGTTGGCTGTTATTATTCTCATTCTGCAAGCCCTGGATTCTTTTTTCTTAGGCTTTACTATCTGAGGAAGAGAATTTGCTGGTCATAAATCGTCTTCATCAAGTTCTGAGACCCTTTATGCTACGAAGACTAAAACACAAGGTCTTCTCTCACTGGATATCCCGAATTGAGTCTATCTTTCATTTATATTTGTTCTATGAACGATGTTACGCCTAACTATTTATACATGCTTCCTGCATTCTGGAAATACTATGAATAGGTTGAGAATGAACTTCCTGAAAAGATTGAGAGACTCATTAGGTGTGAAGCATCTGCATATCAGAAACTTTTGATGCAGCGGGTTGAAGATAATCTTGGGGCAATTGGAAGTTCAAAGGTTTCTCCAATCTATATTTTGTTCTGTGTTATTGTTTCATTTTGCAGATTTATGTTCTACTGTGCATATAGTACAGTTCCTCTTTCTAAACTTGATTGTCTTTTGCAGTCACGATCAGTCCACAACTCTGTCATGGAGCTTCGCAATATATGCAATCACCCTTATCTTAGTCAGCTGCATTCAGATGAGGTATGCTTTTCTTTCTGGGCTAGTTTTGTTATTTTTTTCCTTTCTTACAGTGATTCCCTGTTTCTTGTCTTCCTGGGGTTACTACTGTAATGTTCATCTTTGTTCTTTTCTTTTGTGCTATTGTGAAATACCGTTTTCATTTATGAAAGTTACATGTTTTGTAGGTGGAGAGTTTTATGCCTAAGCACTTTCTGCCACCAATCATCAGACTTTGTGGGAAGCTTGAGATGTTAGATCGATTGTTACCCAAACTGAAAGCTACCGACCATCGGGTATGGACTCTATACTCCATGTTTGTACAATGCATTTCTTTATGTTGATTGTTTATATTTGATTCTTTTGGGGTGTGTTTATTTAGTTTTTGTTAGGATAAATGTGAGTTTTTGTAGTTGTAGCAGACGGGAAGAAAAAATGTGGTTGATTAGAGTTTAGAAAAAGCCGAGTTGATGGGATGTCAGATGTATTTAGAGATAAAAAAGCAAGTGATGGGATAATAGATAGTTTGTTTAATAATTAGAAAAAGTGAGTGCCTGTTCATGCTTAATTACTTATTACTAAGGATTGAAATACCGTACCGGAGGTTGTACCGGAAAAGTCAGCGGTAGGGTAAACCATGGTTCAACCGTATTACCGCTAAATTCTGCCAACCGGTTTTGCTTCCGGTAGGAGGTTTTTCAGGTCGAACCTCCGGTACGGTACGATATTTTAATCCTTGCTTATTACCCTCGCTAGAGATTCTTTCTTGGCTAGAAAGAGTATCAATTGAAAAGTATTCTGGTCAGCATCTAAAGTGGTAATGACTAGTACGACTGCCATTTGAAGAATTCTATCTTCAAGGAACAAAGATGGAAATGAATTTTCTTTTTTAGCGACTTAGTTTTTAGATTTTAAGTTCGATGAAGAAAATAGTTCCTTCGAGTTTTTTTTATCAAGTTAAAACAAACACACCCTTCATGTATGATAGAATTCCATTTTAGCAAGTTGACAATGTGTATTTTGTTAATTGGTTGTCTGTCTCTCATTTATAATTGTCAATTCTATCCTATCTGATGAACCTTTCTCATTCATGGGGTGAGGCAAAGTAAGCAAATTTGATTTTTGTACATCATAATATCATATTAATTTGTAGTTGTGGTGCTGGCAACTTGCAGGTACTTTTCTTTTCAACAATGACAAGGCTTCTTGATATTATGGAAGAGTATCTCATGGCAAAACAGTACCGATACCTTCGTCTGGATGGTCATACTTCTGGTGGTGACCGTGGTGCACTTATTGATATGTTCAACAAACAAAGTTCTCCCTTCTTCATCTTTCTGCTCAGGTAAATGATGGGCTGTATGTGAATAAGGTTGAGGTTTATGGTTTCTACCAGGGGATGGCGCATAATATGAGTATTATGTGGGTCTCTGCAAGGAAAATAAAAATAAAAATCGATATGGGACGTGACTTGATAATTTCTTTGTTAGTTGTTGGAGTAGATTCACATTTCTGGTGAAGCTGGAGATCTGGGGTATGTGCGATCACAATCTTTATAGCTTTTCAGATGTATTTTATTTTCACCTGCAATCGAGATCAACTATAAGATGTAACAATCCATACTAGGTTCAAATCTTGGACCCGGCATCATCTGTGAAGAGAAGACGTAGCATGCTGATCTTTTGCAACCTAGAGCTAGCAATAAACAGGCTTGGTTTTGGTTACTTATTTGGGGCTGGGATGTACAACCATGAATTGATGACTAGTTTATGAGCTGATTTTTTGTAGCCTCAAAAGCTTTGGTCTGCGGGCATTTTACCTCATTCCATGGCAGGGATTTGGTTTTAACGCCGGTGGTTTATGGTGTGAAGGAACTAACTTTAATTAACTTTCAGCATTCGGGCTGGTGGTGTTGGAGTGAATCTTCAGGCTGCAGACACTGTCATCATATTTGACACGGACTGGAATCCTCAGGTTTTGGAGAAAACTAGGCTTTGAATCTAGAGCATGCTAGTGCTTTTTCAGCCCCCATTTCTTGATACCTTTTTCTGTTTGTATTATTAGGTGGATCTTCAAGCACAAGCTAGGGCTCACAGGATTGGCCAGAAGAAGGATGTGCTTGTTCTTAGATTTGAAACTGTATGTCGCTATCTCCCCCAAACAAAACTGTGGCTTATGTATCTCGATGTCGGCCTAAACCATTCTTGGGATTTGAATAGTTCCCTCATTTCATTATTTTCATGTCTTAAGGTGAAAACTGTTGAAGAACAAGTCAGAGCTGCTGCTGAGCATAAACTGGGAGTTGCTGACCAGAGTATTACGGCTGGTTTCTTTGACAATAATACAAGGTGGGTTAGAATACGCCCTTTTAAATGTTTCTCCATAGAATCTTGAAATAGGAATTCCTGGTGGCTTAATTGAGTTACATTTCCATCGCTTAAGAGACTTTTATATTTCACAGCGCGGAAGATCGTAGAGAGTACTTGGAGGCCCTACTACGTGAGTCAAAGAAAGAGGAAGCTGCCCCTGTCTTGGATGATGAAGCCTTGAATGAGATCTTAGCACGCAGGTATTTGTGGCTTAAAGTCTGTTTCCAGCTGTCTTAGGGTTGGAGACATGGCTGTAAAAGGCATCCTTGGGCTCAAGTTTCTCTTCCGCTAGCTTAAAGTAAAGGCACAGGCAGCAATGTCTTTGTTTCTTGTCTTGTTTGCTTTTATCTTCACTTTGGTAGGATGATTCAGTTTATTGCTTTTCATTGATGTGTTGAGGTGAATGGAAAATCTGAAAACTAATTGAAAGCTAAAGATGTGTGGTCTTGTATGCAGAATGTTGAAGTATCCTAGCCGATTTTCTGTAAACAAACTATAACTTGAATGAGTAAAATTATTGTTATATATATACCGTGAGCAAGACCTAAGGGAACTCTAGTGTTTAGTTCTGCACACATATCATAGATTACTTTGTTATTGCTGGTTAATGTGGCTGTGTTAGTACCTTGGTGCGAAGGCAGCCTTTGCGCCTTCATTAATGTTGTTTGATTATCTCCTTGGACTCAGTCTGTACCAAGCATTACTGACTGTAAACCTGTGTCCGCAGTGAGTCTGAGATTGATGTATTTGAGTCGGTTGACAAACAACGACGGGAACAAGAGACGGTATGACGCTAAATTTTGCAGTTCTTGCTTGGTACTTATGGTCCCTAGACTTACTCGACTTCACATAACTGTAGGAAATATGGAAGAAGTTACTAGCTGGACAGGGAGCAAATGTTCCTGAATCTTTGCCTCCCCTGCCTTCACGCCTTGTTTCAGATGATGACTTGAAGTCATTCTTCGAAAAAATAAAGCTATATGATGTGCCAAAAGATGATGGAGTACCTAGTATCGGGACAAAACGAAAAGGTCAGTCGCAGGGCCTTGATTTTCAGCACTATGGAAGGGGCAAGCGGGCAAGAGAGGTCTGTTACTCAACTTCGTTTTTGTTTTTGCTGTCTCTTAGTTATCTATTGCCTCAATTCGAGGGCACCTTTTAAGTTATCCAAGTTCTGCTTTGTCAGGTACGGTCATATGAAGAACAATGGACTGAAGAGGAATTTGAAAAGCTGTGCCAGGATGACAATCCTGATTCGCCAAAACCTAAGGAGGAAGTAGTAGAGAGGAATCTGCCAAAAGAGGCCAGTGTTTCTGCCTCAACCATTGCTAATCCAGAACCTACTGCTGCACCTACTGCACCAGAGTTGGTGCAGCATGTACTTCCACAACAGAGCAGTGAGTTAACGGTAACACCGACACCATCTAAGAGAGGACGTGGACGGCCAAAAAGGGTAAATATAACTCGACTAGCACTGCCAGTAGGAACTCCTGCTGGACTTGTCAAAGCAGATATGGAGTTACAGAAAGGAATCAATGGTAGCTCTCCAAGTACATTAGCTCCTAATCCTTTACCAGAATCAAATTTGGTTAGTGTTGGTCCAATAGCCCCTCAAGCTGATGCAGGCACTGCTTCCACACTCCAACCAACTATTCCTGTCACTTCTGGGCAGAGTTCACAACTTTCTCTTGTTTCTCCTTCAGTACCAATGCCAGCAAGGGGCCGCGGTCGTAAGTCTCAACGTGGTGGATATACACCACGTGGTAGGGGAAGGAAAATGGGATTTGTGTCAGCTACGCCTGAGAGCATTGCTTCTCCAGCTCCCGTTATTGGTGAAGCTTCACAGAACTCATCCAACAATGCTTTAGTTAATTCCAGTGGTGTCACACTTTCTGGTGATCCTGGTATTGCACCAATTACTGTACCTGTTCAAGTGACCATTGCAGCACCAGATCAGTCTGGTAAAGGAACTATTGTAGATACCCATCCAGCCCCTCTTGCTGCTCCATCTTTATCCATCGCTTCTGCTTCCACTCGAATCAAAGAGCAGAATCCAAAGGCTCAAAGTGCGACTGGAATGCCTCGGCGTAGGGGAAGGAAACCTTCAGTTAAAGTTCCACCTGAAGTTCCAGTTGTTTCAGCGGCTCAGATTTCGCATATGAACCTACCACCTTCAGTTCAAGTTCCACCTGAAGTTCCAGTTGTTTTAGCTGCTCAGGTTTCATCTCAGAACTTACTGACAGGTGTTGTACCAGTAGTAGACACTTTGGGAGGCAGCGCTGCAATAGCTGGAAATGATAAGGGTAATGGTTCCAATGAACCAACGAAAGTTGACCCGGGGCAAAAACCCAGAGTAACTATTCCAGATCAGGAGTCAAGTCAACATTCAGGTGAAGTGACCCAACAGGATGAGCCAACAAACTCGACCACCATACACAGTGCTGATACTAGATCTATGCCAAGCCAACATTCAGCTGCAGTGACCCAACAGCCAACCAGCTTATCAACCACCATGCATGATGCTCCTACATCTATGGGTAAATTGATGAAAGACTGCTTCTTTCTTCCTTTCGAGTTTTTGCTTGCATGCTGAGTTTTGTATGAACAATAACTTTCGAATTGACAAAGTGATACTAAAACAAAGACTTTGTCCAGGTTCTCCTGCAAGAAATCAAACTGTTACCTTGTTTCACGCAGCCATCAACATTAAGGAGCATCCTGTTCAAAGTAGTTCGACATCTAAATCAGGTGACCCTTTCAGAAAGGATGGTGAGGCTGGCCTAGGAATACCTACACCCAGCAAGGCTTTCATTGATAAAGTGCAGAATACAATTATGGGAGATCAAGAGTCTGCACTTGCTGGTCCTTCATGTGAATCACAGCATGGCTCCCCTGGTGTAGAAATTGGTCAGACTGTACCAGAGTTGGTCGTGAAAAGTGCCTTTGTCTCTCGGCCCACCCCAGCCCTTTCTTCTGTAGCCCTGGTCTCTCAACCTGACCCACCTCAAGCAGGTCGGGGTAAAGGGAGAGCCAGAAAGGTTACAAGCAGAACGGATGCGCCCAGGCGGAGGGGAAGGAAACCGGCTACAACGGCACATCCTGCTGATACATTGGGAGTTAGGACCATGTCCCTGAGAAACCGACCAGGGAGTGAAGCTATGGAAATCACACTTGCTGTACAGGTATTTGTAATGCTCTTCAGTCCCTATTGTATGCAAGCTATAAATCCTTTTATTTTCCTAGCTTCTGCTCAAAAGTTCATTGTGGTGAACATTATAAAAAAAAAGTTCTTTGTGGTGAATGTTTATTTGATTCTCCTTCCAGGAAACCCCAGTTGCTAATGCTTTTGTTTGTCAAGACTCTAAACAAGGGGAAATTACGTCTTTGGGCCGGATTCAGACTGCAGATGTAACTGATGTTGCACGTGTGATGAAGGAGATCTTCTCTGAGTCTTGCTCATCCAAGGGTAAGAGTAGTGACTCTTCCAAAAGTGAATGTAAAAGCACTGGCACACCTGTATCTTGTATGAAACCTTCACCAGTCACAGAAGGCCAAAGCTCTGAGGATAAGATTCATGGATCTGTCTCTTCTTTACAAGAAGCCATTTCTGCTGAAGGAATCTCACTTGATAGTTCTGTCCAGTCTGTATCTGAATTAGGTTTCAGGGTGGATAAGAGGAATCTGCCTGCTGTGCATGCTGATGCTGTGAGTAATAAAGCTGAGACAAAAGTCGATTCATCTCTAGAATCAGCAGCGGTTGATAAAGACACGTGCAGAAGTAAGGCAAATGCCATTGTTCTTGGTATAGAGGCATCCAGCAATCGGGTTGTTTCACTTGGACAAGCTCAAGGTGTTGGAAGACACGTATCTTCCAGGGTTAATTTGAGTAGTACTGTTGAGTGTGCATCTACCAAGAAGGTTGGTTCACCTGTAGAAACTCAAGGTGCTAAGAAGCCTCGCATTTCATCTCATGATGATTCTGTTGATGCTGCTACTGTAAGGTTCATGAGGCCACCTGAATCTCTTCCTGATGCCTTCATAGAACCTATCGTAGCTCACGGCACTGCAGAGCATCCCGAGAAGAATCCAGAAGATAAGATGGAAGCTTCTGTAAAGTCGTCTCCATTGTCTCAGATTGAAGTTACTGAGAAGCATGGCAGTGAGGCTAATACTACTGCGGCTAAGCTTGATGATACGATTGTTCAACCTGAAGATAATAGCAGCAACATGCAACTTGATCAAGAAACTGGATACACGGAGAGTGAACCCGTTCCAGTGTTCAATGTGGAAGAACAACATATACCACCTGAGAAGACCGTGTTTTGTGAGTCAGCCAATGAAGAGAAGCATTGTGGTCCAAGTACGTTGCAGTCACAAGTGGACAGTAGATTGCCTGATGATTTTACTTCTGAATCTACCAACACAGAGCTAAGTTCAGAAGATCATGTTGGAAATCAGCTTCAGCCAAAAGACGTGGATCTCTCCATGGAACAGGTTGGTATTTGTTGACTGAGTGATTCAATTTGACTCAGCTTTCCTATCCTTGGAACCCCTTAATCTCGATTTTATAAAAAGAGATTGTTGGTGATGAATGACGTAGGTCAATTGTCTTATTCGCCCTCCTCTGTAATTACTTGTCCGTATTTCATGTTTGATTTTGTTGTTTGTGCACTAGACAGCCACTTTATGGTATTTACTTCCCTAACTAAATTGGTTGACCTTTTATTTTGACCAATTTAACAGCTCTCTTTACCAGAAGATGCCTTTGCCAAGGAGCAAGAGTTAAGAAGCTCACCAGTTGAGAGGGATCATCAACATTTGGTGGAGATTCTGGTAGAAAGATCAGTTGTGTTGGAAGAAGTGCAAGGCTCTGACACTAACAAAGATTGTAGAATTGGTTTCTCTGGAACTAGGAGTGTCTCAGATGACCTTCCTTCATCCAGAGAGTTGAAAGATTCAGTTGTGCCGGAAGAAGTGCAAGGCTCTGACTCGAACAAAGATTGTGAAGTTCGTGTTTCTGGAACTGGTAGGAGTGTCTCAGATGACCTTCCTTCATCTAAAGAGTCGAAAGGATCAGTCGTGCCAGAAGAAGTGCTAGGCTCTGATGCTAACAAAGATTGTGAAATTGGTGTCTCTGAAACTGGTAGAAGTTTCTCCGATGAGCTTCCTTTATCTAGAGAGTTGAAAGAACCAGAGTGTAAAATTAATGACGAAGTAGCATTTGCAGAAGACACCTTAGCAGCATCTCCCTCTGGGTCCAATTCACCTGAGAGACACTACCTTACTTCATCTAGAGAGTTGAAAGCATCAGAGTGTCAAGCTGATAAACGAGTAGCAGTGGGAGAAGTATCCCTAACAGCCTCTCCTTCTGTGCCCAAGGAACGAATTGACTCACCGGAGAGACATCCACTCAGCAGCAACTCTGGAGAAGATTGCATAAAAGCCCCATCTGAAACAGGTAAGAGTATGGCATTTATCTATGGTAGTCTTGAGCTTGATCGTAGGTGAATTAACCCATTTTGTTATTTTCCCCTGGTAGGAGTGCGACATTTGGATACAAAAAGTCTGCCTCCTGAGAAGAATGTAGATAGCAACTTAACAGAGGAGCGATTACAGGGGCCTAATTCTACCGAAGATGAATTGGTTACCAAAAGTTCGCCTTCTGAGAAAGATGTCCATGGCAACTTAACAGCAGAGGAAGGGCTACAGTGGCCTAATTCTACTGAAGGTGAATTGAATACAGAAAGTTTGGCTTCTGAGAAGAATGTAGATAGCAACTTAGCAGCAGAGGAGGGACTACAGGGGCCTGATTCTATGGAATGTGACGTGATTGCTCCTGCAACTGCAGAGGACACTAGTTCACCTTCACCAATGGTGGAGGAAATAAAGATTGATGATGCATCTTCTAAGAGCCCTCGTGGTGAGAAGTTGGCAGCAGAACCGGAGGAGACTAGAAATGAGGAGGCAGAACTGCAGGGGCCTAATTCTACAGAAGGTGAGTTGGCTACAAAAAGTTCGCCTTCTGAGAAGAATGTCTATAGCAACTTAACACCAGAGGAGGGGTTACAGGGGCTTAATTCTACAGAAGGTGAATTGGATACAGAAAGTTTACCTTCTGAGAAGAATGTAGATAGCAACTTAGCAGCAGAGGAGGGTCTACAGGGGCCTGATTCTATGGAATGTGACGTGAATGCTCCTGCAACTGCAGAGGACACTAATTCACCTTCACCAATGGTGGAAGAAGGAAAGATTGATGAGTCATCTTCTACGAGCCCTCGTGGTGAGAAGTTGGCAGCAGAACCGGAGGAGACTAGAAATGAGGAGGCAGAACTGCAGGGGTCTAATTCTACAGAAGGTGAGTTGGGTACAAAAAGTTCGCCTTCTGAGAAGAATGTCCATAGCAACTTAACAGCAGAGGAGGGGTTACATAGGCGTAATTCTACAGAAGGTGAATTGGATACAGAAAGTTTACCTTCTGAGAATAATGTAGATAGCAACTTAGCAGCAGAGGAGAGACTACAAGGGCCTGATTCTATGGAATGTGGCGTGATTGCTCCTGCAACTGCAGAGGACACAAGTTCACCTTCACCAATGGTGGGGGAAGGAAATATTGATGACTTATCCACTAAGAACCCTCGTGGTGACGAGTTGGCGGCAGAAACGGAGGAAACTGAAAATGAGGAGGGCGGTAATGGTGTGGTAGTAGCTATCCCTACTGACCCTAACTCTAATGATCCAGTGATAATGGAGGGAAATATTGATGACTCATCTCCCAAGAGTCCTCATGGTAAGAGCTTGGCAGAGGAACTGGAGGAACTTAGAAATGAGGAGGGTGGTAATGATGTGGTGGTGGCCACACCTAATCCAGTGGCTGTGGAAAATATTGATGGCGCATCTTGTAAGAGTTCTCATGGTGAGAAGTCGATGAAGAAACATAGAAATGAGGAGTGCGGTAATGATGTGGTGGTGGCCATGTCTGATGACCCCAACTCTAAGGATCCAGCGGTGAAGGCAAAGATTAATGACTCATCTTCTAAGAGTCCACAAGGTGAGAAGTCGGTGGAGGAACTGGTGGAACCTAGAAATGAGGAGGGTGGTAATGATTTGGCAGTGGTCACGGTTGATGACCTAGACTCTAAGGATCTGGTGGTGGAGGCGGGAAAGATTGATGACTCATCTTCTAAGAGTCCTCATGGTGAGAAGTCGGGAGAGAAACTGGAGGAACCTAGAAATGAAGAGGGTGGTAATAATCTGGTAGGGGCCCCGGCTGTTGACCCTGACTCGAAGGATGTGGTGATGCAGGAGGGGAAGATTGATGATTTATTTTCTACGAGTCCTCATGGTGAGAAGTCAGCCGAGAAACTGGAGGAACCTAAAGAGGAGAGTGGTAATGTCTTGGTAGTGACAACGGCTAATGACCCTTACTCCGAGGATCCAGTGGTGGAGGGAAAGATTGATGATTCATTTTCTAACAGCTCTCATGGGGAGAAGTTGGCAGAGAGACTAAAGGAACCAAGAAATGAAGAAGGTGGTAATAATGTGGTAGTGACAACGGTTAATTGCCCCGACTCTGAAGATCCAGTGGTGGAGGGAAAGATTGATGACTCGTCTTCTAAGAGTGCTCATCGTGAGAAGCTGGCAGAAGAACTTGAAGATCCTAGAAATGACGACAGTAACGATGTGGTAGTGGAGAAGGGAAAGATTGATGACTCAACTTCTAAGAGTCCTTGTGGTGAGGATTCGGGGGAGGAAAAGGAACATAGAAACGAAGAGTGGGGTAATCATGTGGTAGTGGATGAGGGAAAGATTGATGAATCAACTTCTAAGAGTCCTCGTGGCGAGTATTCGGGGGAGGAAAAGGAACCCAGAATTGAGCAGGGTTGTAATGATGTGGTAGTGGATGAGGGAAAGGTTGGTGAATCAACTTCTAAGAGTCCTCGTGGTGAGGATTCGGGTGAGGAAAAGGAACCTATAAACGAAGAGGAGGGTAATGATGTGGCAGCGGAGAAGGGAAAGATTGATGGCTCGACCTCTCAGAGTCCTCGTGGTGAGGATTCGGGGGAGGAAAAGGAATCCGGAAATGAAGAGAGGGGTAATGATGTGGTAGTGGATGAGGGAAAGATTGATGACTCAACTTCTGAGAGTCCTCATGGCGAGGATTCGGGAGAGGAAAAGGAACCTAGAAACGAAGAGTGGGGTAATGATGTGATAGTCTCCACGCATGCTGGTGCCGAGTCCGAGGACCTGATGGTGGTTGATGAGAAGGCCAACGTTTCTTCTGAAGAACTTTCAGTTCCTGAGTCTGCAAAACGAACAGAACCGGAATCAATCTCTCGGGGAGATGAGTGATGGCCATTTTTGGACAAGATCCGTTGGGATGTGTGGATGAATCACAAGGGGTCTGTAGCCGAAGTTATGTGCAGATGTAGTATATGTTCTTTCCAGGTTAATGTAGTAACTTACAGCTCGGATGAGAGCTAGGGCTTAGGCAATATGCACAGTTGTGAATGTAATCAAAGTTGTAATGCTCGCTGATTATTAGTAAGTAGTCTTCTAAGTAATCATCCTGCTAAGTTATCCTATATTCACAAGTGCCTTAATAGTTAACAGGCTAGGTTTGGGTCTGATTATGCATTAAAATGGATTGTTCTCGTCGCCTCATTAGTGTCCATGAGGCCATCTACTATTAATTTAAGGTGATATTCCTTGATATAAGAACCAGGTTGGATCAACGATCGGACCAATAGAACTATTGAACCGGTTACAATAACAATTTGGTTCATTTTGTTTCTCAGAAAACAACAACTTCGTTTTCATTTTAATTTTGTTTTCTGTTGTGACAGCAAATAGAAATGGAATGACAACTAAACGGCCCATTAGTTGCACGGTCAGGTTATTGCCAATTTGCCATTAACCCGGTGAACCACTTGGTTTTGATTGGTTTACTCTTTTAACTACAAAATTAGAAGGGAAAAAGAAGAGAATACTTTTAACATGAATTGAGATCGGATATATAACCAATGATTATCTATTTGACCCCATGCCTCCTTCCCCTCTTGTTGCTCTCTTGCTCTCCAACCCTCACCTGTCTGGTGTCCACCTCTCTTAGGCGTATCAAAGATTAATTTTGACGGGCTATCCTACAAGATGCATGCTCTTTTGGATGAGTTATTCGAGATTCAAGCAGTTACACACTATCGGTGTTAGGGTGCCTTTGTTTTGGAATATAAGATCCGTATATTGCAGAACTTCTTGTCGCTCAAGCAATTATATTGCTTGGGGTAGATCGCCATATTGCAAGAGTGGTGGTCGAAAACGATTCTGAGGTTGTTATTTGTCAAAAGAGTATCAAATATCAACCTTGCTCTAGTTCCGAATGCACTGTACTACGTCTGGGGAACGAAGGTATACCTTACTTTTCCTATACGATACCACCCCCAATTTCACAATGATATATTGTCAGATGTCTTAGGTGGGCTTGTGTTGCGCGATTGTGTCCATCTGATCTCAGTCATTGCCCCATGGTGTAAAGTTTAGGGTGGTTCTTAGAATTGTGAATTGGGCTACTCATAGAGGGACACATAAAATCCTTTCTTTGTCTTTGTTAGAGTTGGTCTCTTTTGTTCTTAATGACTAGCTAATGTTGATGTTTGGGTTTGTTTGGGTTTAAATAGGGGTGAAGACGTGAAGTATTTCTTTAGATTGTTGTTTCTTCCTGAACATTTCTTGGTCAAAAAAGAACATAGGTTAACAGGTAGAGATGATAATTTTGACATGTCTCGTCCAACCCAATCTGTTTAGTCTTATTTTCGAATAGAGAATACCTAAACTGAAAGCGTAGCATTTATGCTCTCATCGACCTATCACGCCCTAATGTTAATGGTTTCCCATTTGCTTACATATTTTGTTAAACTCAACATCAACTGATTTCAATCGATTCTACCACTAATCGGATCGTATTATTTGCCAAACCAATATAAGAGAATCTATCTATCTATCTATAAAAATATTAAAAGGGTTTAAGATTTAGACCCTTGCCACATCAGCCTTGAGCTAAAATTATGTGTCCATGTCAGCATCACTAAAAGACAAAATTTTCCGTTTCTATTTTTCAAAACCCCGAAACATAGCAACGCTTGGTTAAAAAAAACGATTCCCCATTTACTTTTTCCTTTCCTTTTACAATTTTAAGTCTTAACCAGATTTAAGGAGAACCGAAATAGAGGGATGGGCCGAGCCTGTCACCTGTGACATGTGGGAGCGGTGAGGATAAACATTGTTATTATTTTGATGTTAATGTATCTAATACAACTAAATTGGCATTTCCCCATTTTTATGAATATTTTGAACCAAATTCCAAAGGCATTTTAATTCAGATGTTAGTGGTTGTTCATATGAGAATTTATACATATAGAAAAATAAATCAAGTTTTAAATTTAATTTCCCAAACAGGAGGATATTTCATATAAAGCCTAAATTCATGGTTTAAACTGTATAACCTAATCATTTTTTACCATCTAACAAAAGTTTTGGATTATAACACATAAACATGTCAACTATCATCATGTGAGTGAGTATGATGATGCGTTTACTAATCATGTTAAAGTGGAATTTTTTTAAAACTATTTTGATGCTACTTATGAAAAGAATAATTCAAAACTATAAGTTACACGAAAAAACATACGAATATAGAATACACTAATCTTCGCACAATTTTGAATAACACATTTACAAAATTTATACAATAACAACAATAAAAATAATTGAAATGTCATATTAAAATTGATTATTGCTAAAGAAAATAAAACTGAACGGGCTTAAAACTAGTAATTCACTAGCTTATTACCCGGCCCGTTGGCCGCATTACTGTATGTTACCCACTTGTGGAATGGGAGAGAAAGCAAGTGAGAGTGAAGGGATTGGGATTCCACTTGATTAGGACCGACCCACTAATCCAATTCTTCCCGACCCGCCCCAACCTACAGGGTCAGAAAGAGTCAATAAGAAAATACGAACGGGGAGGATTAGTCATATATCTTGACTCTTCAGAAGTGGGTCAAACAGGATCAAGGTTGGGTGAGGGCAATTTTTAGCGCTAAGCAGAGTTCTGGGTTGAATACCTTTACTTAGGCCTAGAAATTGGTGCTGATGCAGACTGCAGTTTTTATTATACCATCATCAATCATCATTGAATTAGTCCTGGGCATCCCTCCCCGTTGTCGGTCTGAATTCTAATGATGGCTTCATTCCTTGCACCAGCCATATCAGCGAGTTGCCATCTCGAGCATGATTTGCCTATGTACAAATAATACAATTAGAGTATGAAAATGAATTCAATGAAAAGGAAAAGAGAATTCTATCACATGCCAATAAATACACACATAATAGTTGAAGCTAAGTGAAAGTCATTACTCGCACATCAATTCTCAAAAATTACAGACTAAACATTGGCTAGAATGGCACTGAAACTACCAAGAATCATGGACGAAACAACTTGTCAAATTAAATAATCCTTATACTGAAACTACCTTCTAACTTGAAATAAGACATGATCACAGTTCATAGCTCTCTTCTCACTATGAATTGGTTGCAGCTCGTCCTTATCACTGCCTCTCTAGCTCAATTCAAACAGAATAGAGACTGTTATGTAAGATAACCATATTCTTACTGATCATAATTCCTTTCTTCACTCCATTTTTTTCGGAGAAAAGAGTTATCCCCCTCTCCTGCATTTCCCTTTCCCCCTCTCTTCTCCCTCTTCTTCACAAACCGATCCCTAAACCAGCAACAACAACACAAAAATAGCCTTCGCCTCTCCCGTCTCCATCTATTGAACGCGTTGGTGGCAAGACAGGACTGCAGAAGCAAAATTTTCTAAAATCAAACTAAATTTTTTGAAGCAGACTCAACCACGGAAAAAGAGTAAAGCAACAATGCAGTAGAACCCTAAATTTAACTACAATCAAGCACATATCAGCAAGATTTTCGATTTGTCTGAGAGTTAACTACACGGAGAGAACAATTAATGCATAATTGAAATGCTCCAAGCAAGTTGAAGGCAAACCATAACTTTCGAATTTGGTCATAATAATAACCTTCAAGTATTGATGCTTCTAAGAACTATCATGTCCAACCCCCACTTATACAACTACGTAGCCATAGTAATTAGTTGTATAATGAGAAATATTACAAAGAAAACTACATAAACAACCAATGTAAGTAAATATTAAAACTAACAACTGATAAAACTTAAAATCTCTCTATTGGTATAAATGTATCTATTAGTAACTACTATGCAATCGAGTATATATGATTTTTAGGCACTGAATAAGAAAAGTATAGATGGCTCACAAATGAAGACGTAGCAACTGAAGGTAGCACACAAAAACCAAAAATAGAAAAAGAGATAAGAAAAAAGGCGAGAAAAAGTCAAACAAAGAAAAAGCCCACATAGGAATACCTCGCTAGCTTTAGGGACTCTCTGCCACAACAAACAACCTTCTTAAAAATCTAACACCCTGAGACATCAAACAAACCTCCCACGACACTAATGCATGGCATTCCTATTGTCCAATAGGTTTGCCCAATTTAGACTTCTAAATAAATGGACTTTTCACCATTAAACCAAAACTCACAATCATTAACAGTTAATGCAAAGACATACATTTCTGAGGCCAATCACAGCATTTAAGCATAATTTTTAGTTGAAAAGAACAACTAAGTATTTAGCTAAATGATATAGTAGAATGGACACAATCTGCTACCTACTAATGATATAAACGTGTACCGGTACCATCATTGTATCCTGACTTGCCATTTGCAACGGGCACTTTGAAAGACAACTGCATTTTAGAGAATAAACACCCATAAGGGCGTTACGAAACCAAGCTTAATCCAAAATCTTCATATTCCACTTCGAAGACTCCATTTTCAAAAATAAGAGAGTTTAACATGTCAAATCACTCATTTGAAAAATCTCAAACAACTATTAATCAATGCAATATAAACGCACGTTCCAAATTATGTACTTGTAGGAATAATCCCAAATAATTATCAATTAATGCCCCAACTACCTAATGTGCAGAATAGCCCTGGAGCTGTGCTGTTGTTTGCGTTGGTCTACCTTCAAACATAACATAGTTGCATCACGAACCAAAGCAATTAAGCAAAAATCTTCATATTCCAAGTAGAATGACTCAATTCAATTTGGCCAACGCTTTATACATATTGTTTACCCCTGGACCTGTTGCACTTGCGCCTTCAGATCTTCGTGAACACAATACAATTGCGGAGAGGAGGCTGTCAACGGAATAAAAATTGTTAATTAAGTGAATCACCATACAACTAAACAAACGCGCTCTTCTTGATTAGCTATCAAAATAGTGGGGGTCGCTACAATCCATCGGTTGCTCCCTCTACGCCTAAGTTGTAGATATTAGGTTTCAGTGAGAACTTTGAGTACATGAGGAGATATTTTGTAGTTGAGGAGATGACCCGGCGAGTAGAATAGGAAGATTTGGAGAGGCTGCGATGGGCAAAGCAGTTAAAATCGAGATTTTACCTAAAATCGAAAATTGGGGTAAAATCAAAATCGTATAATCGAATCGTAAAATCGTAGGATTTTAAGTACCATATAGAACATAGCATATAAGAATATTAATAAGGTAAATTATTAATATTACAAAGACACATAGCATTTAAAATGATAATTCAGAAGATTTTTTTCCCATAAGATAATTCTCAAGATTAATGTTTCAAAATCACTATTTTAATTGTTATTTAATGTGTAACTCAAAATAATTCATGATGAAGGGATATAGTTCATGGGTTTGGCTCTTATTTTCATGTTATGTCTAGGTTGTTTAACTCAAAGTAATATTTCGACATCGTCTACTAAGTATGATTTAAAACTAAAAATAATTGAACTCCAATAAAGTAAGTAATGTTAGTGGCTTGGTACAAATATATTCATTAATAAATTAATTAGTTAATAATGATGTTAGTTCTTACATACTTCCAATATTAGGACAGGTGTTTTACCAATAAGTTAAATGGGGTGAAGGGAAAGAGATTAACCGAACCCTAATTTGGTTATTTTTATTATTTTTGAATATTTTTCTAATAGAAAAATATCTGAGAAGATTCCATTGCCCTTTCCGCTGAAACAGTTATACTTATTTTAAATTGGCTCAAACCACCTATTTTGTTCTCTTACGATCAAAATCCCGATTTTAAACGATTTTAAGGTCCACCGATTTTATAGTAAAATCAAGATCGGAATCCCTAAGTAAAATCCTAAAATCCTACGATTTTACGATCAAAATCCCGAATTTGACTGCATTGGCGATGGGTGCACGATTAGTGGGCCAAATAACAGTTTGGGCCCGTTTAAATGAAAACATATTTTTACTTTCGTGCTCAACAGACCGACCGCACTGGCATCTTCTAAATTTACCCCTAAAAAATTGCTCTGTACGCATCAAATTTGAAATGGAATCCTTCTTTTCTCATTTCACATTTATATGATGTGTAGATTGTGATGAGTGTAGATGTAGACCTGTCATTGTCCTACAAATTCATTAACACGCCAAAAAGTGGTGAAATGAGCCACCCTATTAAACACAATCTTGTATAATGATCATTGGATCCAATCATGCCAGATTATGAAGAAGTTTAAAATGTAGCGGTTATCCCGACTAAAACATTAAAAGAACCAGTCTCATATAGTTTGCACAAAGATATAATTTCTCCATAGTAATTCTGAAAAATAATATTAATTTAAGAAGTCGATATTGCTTCTACATGTTTAATATTGCAATTCGATATGCAATATTCGAACCAGTGATATTTGGGCTGCAATTTTAGGGTTATTGTATATTTATAAAATAGATAGAAATTTAAATTAAGTATTAAACTACAACTAAAATAATCAAAGTATTAAAACACCAAATAAGTACTTACGGGAGATTCAGTGGCCAACTAATCGTTAAAAAAGTCATATGATTTTCATAATTTAGGTTCGTGTATGTTTGAATTTAAATAGATACAACAAATATACTTAGTGTGATTGGTTATGATCCTTGCTTGCCTTTAAAGAGACCAAAGTTCAAATCCCAATGCATGCCTTTTTTATGAATAAATAAATAAGAAAATAAGCAATTGTGAAGACCAAAATGTCCTTCCTATAATCACTCTCGTTGCAGGAAATTTGAAATGGAGCAACAGTTTTCATCATTCGGCTTTTATTTATTATCTAGATAAACCGGTTTGACAACATTGCTCTCGAAGGACGGGGCCACAGAAATCCACTTGAAGTTGGATTTAGGCGGGCGGCTGGACCCAGAGAAAAAATGGCTAAACTTCACATCTTCACCAACCCATTCAAACAGTCACCGAACCACACAGCGCTCTCGCACCTAACCCATTTCCCTTCCCATCTTCACCTACCCATTCACAACTTCATTCCTCATCGTCGACGACCAGCTGACCGGCTGTATTAACCAACCAAAACGGAGGAATGGACTCCGGCAACGTCCTGGTAAAGCGCTTCCTTTCATTTCCCCCCCCCCTTTTTCCGGCACCGGGAAATTTTCCAGAAGTTGGGAGGGGGAAATTTTGAAATGTTAGTTACTGTTTTTGACTTGGCCTAACCTGCCTCCGTCTGCGGAGAGAATCGCCTAGGTGCTTTGATTAATTCCGTACTTGTGCTTGTTCCGCTTGTTTTTTCAGTTGGCTTCGGGTTCAATGGGCGGCGGCGGAGGAGGAGCGCAGCTCAAGAATCCAACTCTCATCTGTGTTCCAATCATGGCGGATACAGTCGACGAGATGCTGGTCAAGGTTGGCCAGGCCAAGTCCGCCAGTGCCGATCTCGTGGAAATTCGATTGGATTATTTGCGGAGCTTCGTTGATCCTCGCGGGGATCTGGCCGCGCTCGTCAATGGCTCTTCCTTGCCCACGCTTTTCACCTACAGGTCTGCATTGGCTTGCTTCTCTCTGTTTTCTTCTTTCGAATTCCATTTGTTGCAGTTTTTAGTCTGCATATCAATTATGAAAGGTTTGGTTCCTTGTTCCTTGTGTCGTCCCTGCCAGGCCGAGATGGGAGGGAGGTCAGTACGAGGGCGATGAAAGCAAGCGATTGGATGCGCTTAAGCTAGCCATGGATTTGGGAGCCGACTACATTGACGTTGAGCTTCAGGTTCTTAGCTTCTTTGTCATCCACTTTAGGCTTGTCATTAGTCCTGCTTCTTGAAAATTGATTCTCATGGGTTGATGAACTGCGTTCAGTAAGGCTAAACAGACCAGTGTTGCTAAGTCTTCAAATTTCAAGCTCTGTGTAAACCTCGGCAGTAGGAGGGGTCCTCAAACTCTCTGGCATGTTGAATTTTGAAGGTTGCTGGTGATTTCATTGGATCTTTACATGGAAGCAGACCATCAAAATGCAAAGTCATTGTTTCTTCGCACAACTATGAATGCACGCCATCTGTTGAGGACCTCGGTGACCTTGTCGCAAGAATACAAGCAACTGGAGCTGACATAGTGAAGATTGCGACCACTGCCTTAGATATTACTGATGTGGCGCGCATGTTTCAAATCATGGTCCATTCTCAAGTAAGCCACGTCTGTTGTATGCTGTTGGTTTCTCAAGTTCAATTTCATTTGTATGAATTAGGTTGTGAATAGTTAGGTCAAAGTTCTCGCTGATGGTCTCGTGTTTTCTCTGTCACTGATGATGAGGTTTCACTATGAATGAGTTGCTATTTGAAGCACTGACTAAAAATTTTCAGGTTCCATTCATAGGACTTGTTATGGGAGAAAGAGGTTTGATTTCAAGAGTACTCTGTGCCAAATTTGGGGGATATCTCACTTTTGGCATCTTGGAGTCCGGAGTGGTCTCTGCCCCTGGGCAGCCATTGGTCAAAGACCTGCTGGATCTATACAATTTCAGACAAATCAGTGCTGATACCAAGGTCTTTGGTATAATAGGGAGGCCAGTTGGCCATAGCAAATCACCTGTTCTATACAATGAAGCATTCAAGTCAGCTGGTTTTAACGGGGTTTATGTGCACTTGTTGGTGGATGATCTTGCAAGATTTCTCCAGACTTACTCCTCCCCGGACTTCGCTGGGTTCAGGTTATGTTTCTGTAGCATTTTCCATCCCGCTAAGAGCATATATACTTGAGCTATTTTTATCTTCCAGTAGTTTCACAAACAAATGCCAGCTTCAAATATATTCTTCAAGCTAGGTCACTGAAATTAGCTCATTGCTAACTACAAAACCGCTGTTATGTTTGCAGTTGTACGATTCCTCACAAAGAGGATGCTGTGAAGTGCTGTGATGAAGTCGATCCAGTTGCAAAGGTTCGGTTTTCTCTCTGTTTCTGGCAGATGATTAAAGCTTCGTTGTTTGTTTAACGTAATGAACAAAGATATATTGATCCAATTCTTGATCCACTCTCACAGTCGATAGGAGCTGTTAATTGCATTGTAAGGAGAGAAAGTGACGGGAAGTTATTTGGTTTCAATACTGACTATGTTGGTGCCATTTCTGCCATTGAGGAAGGACTTCAAGGTGTCTTTATTTTTGGCCCATGTTCGTTTAAGTGATTTAAGCCTCTATAATGTTCTATAGCTGTTCTTTCTTTTGCAGCTTCAGGAAACGGCAGTAGTAGCCTATCTGGTTCACCCTTAGCTGGTAAGTTGTTTGTGGTCATTGGTGCTGGAGGTGCTGGTAAAGCACTTGCTTATGGCGCAAAAGAAAAAGGAGCGAAGGTTGTCATTGCCAATCGGACTTATGGCGAGTTTCCTGCACAAAGATGACTTTTTGCTCTGCAAATGTATCATGAACCCTATTATGAGAAGAATGCATTCATTTTGATAGCGGTTTATGTTTAGGGGAGGATGTACAGTTTTTGGTTAACCGTATTGATAATTTGTTCATTCTGTTCATTTTCATCAGATAGGGCAAAAGAGCTCGCAGACACAATCGGGGGAGAAGCCATCTCCCTAGCTGATCTGGAAAATTTCCACCCAGAAACTGGCATGATTCTTGCAAATACAACATCGATCGGAATGCATCCAAAAGTGGAAGAAACACCCGTCCCCAAGGTTTTTGTCCCCCGTCTCTACACCTTCACAAAACACCATCCCACAGTTAGCTCCACGGATTAATTAAAATGCTCCAACAAGTTCTTCACCTTCATTTTTCCTTTATGCAGCATGCTTTGAAACATTATGCCTTGGTATTCGATGCCGTCTACACCCCCAAGATAACCAGGCTGTTGAAAGAAGCCGAAGAGTCTGGAGCAGCGACCGTATCAGGTCTGGAGATGTTCATTGGCCAAGCCTACGACCAGTTTGAGAGGTTCACTGGATTACCAGGTAAAACCACTTGAAATCAACTGGGATGATCAGTTGTTAAATAAAAAAATCACAACATATGCCTAAAGTTTTTGAGGTTCTTTCTGACCCTTTTTCTTCTGCTTTTTGGTCTTTGGCAGCTCCTAAAGAACTCTTTCGCAAGACCATGTCCAAGTATTGACATTAGCAGAGAAGTCCTTGTTTCGGAACCGTGCATCTTTTCAATGGAATTGATACCGTGAAAGAAGAGTAATCTCCCTTTCCTTCTTCCCTCTTGTGCTTTCGTTTTCGATGACTACGAATGTGCAGGACAAAAAGAATGCTTGAGATTGATTAGTTAATGTGTAACATCGGCTGGAACCCCATTTTTCAGTGAGGTTGTATGGTTCCTTCCATTGTAATTCGCTGTTAGCCCCGAGAGCATTTCATGCTCTTGGGGCATTCTTGTACGTATGGCGGTGTCCAGTGTATTCTGATGCTGCGTCATTCCCTGTCGTTGAATTGGTGTACTGATGTTGTTGGATTGTCTTTGCATGTTTTTCAAACGATGAATCGGGTGAGTTATTTGTTGAGATTCGTATATGTTTAAAACTTGAACTCAGAAACGAAGGCAGGACAACTTTGGTGTATTCTTACAATGTATGTATTCTAAGTGGGAGTCTACGAATGTGTATTCTTGTAATATATGTATTCTAAGGGTAATGATTGTAAGAAATAGATGATTGTAAAAATATGTTGTCTGGTTGTTGTGATTCAAATTTTTGAAGATTATAAGGATTATCATTTTAATGACAAAAAGACTTATATAACCTTGAAGCTCTCTTAGTATATATATAATATAATCATTAAGAGTTATTTGCAAGATTTGGTCACTCTCTTACCTTCTGTCAATCTCTGTTAACACCGTCAGCTATATGCTGACATGGCTAAAAGACTCGTCTAATCACCTATTTTTAACAAAAACAAAATAAAATCCAACTCTGACACATCATAAAAAAACTAGTGACTTGACTCACCCCAAATTAAAACCTAAGTTTTTTATCAAAAAGAAAAAAAATTAAAACCTAAGTTTGACCAAATCGCAAAATTCCTAGCCTGTCGATGGAGAAGAGGACCGGAAGAAGCTATCGCCGCCGCCCTCATCCAATCCATCGGTTTCCCTCTTCTCATCCCTCTCCTATTCTTCTTCCTTCGATAGAAACATCACCACCGCGAGCGGCACCATCTCCGCTAGTGGCTGTCGCTGATATAACCTTGATTCGTCCTTTGTTTCCAGCCTCTCCTCCGTTAATGGCGGCTGGAGAATCTACTCAGCTACCAATTCTTCCCTCACCGTCAATCCCACTCCCCTCTCCAATCTGACTGAACAACGACAGAGCGCCACCTTCAACTCCATTCTCGCTGCCGCCTTCGCTCTTCCAGAAGAAAACAAGTTAGGGAGAAGCAGATCTGTCATTCGTTGGAGCTAGGGATTTTTTCCATTTAGATAAAATAGATGAAGAAGAACCCAGAATTTCCAGTTGGTGGGCAGGGGAGGAATCTACGGTACAGGAGGGGAAACAATGCCTAGGTCGGGAGTGGTGGGCAATCAACGAATTGGGGGCAGGAGCAGCACGTCATCAAATAACGGATTAAATTAGGCTAACTAAGCAATTCTGTTTGCCACGTCATCAAATAACGGATTTTGTTAACAGAGTTGGATGGAGACTAACGGAAAGTGATCAAACTTGAACCATTTAACTAATCTGAGTGACCAAGAATTGAATTAAATATTTTCAGTTACTAAACATGAACGTTTTTTGTAATCTCAGTGACCAATCTTGCAATTAACCCATAATCATTAAAGGAGGAGCAAATATGAAATATATAAAAAAGAATAAGGATAAGAGTGCAAAAAAGCAATTACAAAAATAAAACAAGAGAGTCTCACCTTTTTGTAGAGATTCTAAAATGAATGATTCTAATCATTTGTAATTCTAAAGTTTCATTCAAATGCATACATCATGAAAAAGTTTATATCAAAAGAACGATGGATTGCAAAGAAAACAAACATTTACAGAATCACTCATTTAGACTCCTAACTTCCAAACGAAACCTGAGTTGGTATCTCAACAGTCAACTCGATTCCTATCCGTAGAATTGAATCCTTGATCTCGAAATTAGAAGAGGTTTACAATCAAGTATCACTCTACAATCCTGTGTAACTCAAACTCAGAAGCGAAAGCAGAACGACATTGGCCTTCTCCTCATATTCAAAGAACTATTGTACCCGCTTCAAAAATAAATAAAAAAGTTTAAATATTTGTATGGCCTGAATTTTTCATATATTAAACATCCTCACTATTCATTTCAATCTATAACTTTATGGCATCAATTATGCATCAAAGTTAGCCAAACCCGAGATTTGATCGTTATCTTGGACGATCAAACTCGTTGACTAACGATCAACGCGCCACGTTACTACCAAGTCAGCACAAACCACTTAAAAATTTGGGTATTTCAACCTATTACCATTTTTCTTTTCATTTTATTTCTTCTTTTGTCCAAAATAAAAAAAATATGGTAACAGATGGAGAGAAAAAAAACCAATTTTTTTAAGTGGTGTAGGCTAACCTGACAGTGACATGGCTCGTTGACCGTTAGTCAATGAATTTGACCGTCTAAGTTAACGGTCAAATCTCGAGTTTGGCCAATTTCGTAACTTTGATGCATAGTTGAGACCACGAAATAATAGATCGAAAATATTGACCAAAATATTTAATATATGAAAAATTGGAGGCATACAAATATATTTAAAAAAAATCTAACTAAATGCAAGCAAAATGAATTCCAATTCTACCATTCGTTGCATTCCTGTACGAAAGCCACGCCTCCAAGTTTTCGCGGGCGAAAAGCTCTCCGAGCTTAAACCCACGAAATAATAGATCGAAAAGATTAACCAAAATATTTAATATATGAAAAATTGGGGGCATACAAATATATTTAAAAAAATTCTAACTAAATGCATAACGTATTTTTTAGGCGATTTTTGGAGAGAGACGGGTCACCAATGCGTGTTGTGCGCCTGATGTGTGTACTGTGGAGGATATGGAAGGGGAGGAACTCTGTGGTCTTTGAGGGACAACAGCCTCTCCCGAGTATTCTCCGACAGGAGTTTCTACATCAAGTGTCAGAATGGGAGCATCTTCTCCAGGGGGATGGGGACGGTGTGGGTGAGCCTTCAGGGGGCCGTGGTACTGATCAGCCTACGATGGCTGCTGGTTCTGTGGACGGTGTGGTATGTTCCTTTGATGGGGCAGTCCGTGACGGGACCCATGCGGCAGGTGGGGTGGTCTTACGTGAGGCAGGGGGAGCGGTGTTTGCGGCACAAGGGCTGATGTTTACCGGTCTGCAAGATCCGATGCTTGTGGAATTGTCTACGTTGCGGGATGCGATGCGGTGGTGTCAACATCGTGGCTTGGAGGCTGTTACGTTTGAGGGGGATGCCAAGATTGTGATCGACAAGGTTAATGCTGGGGATGTTTGTGCTGCTGCTGGTGGTGCTCTGTTTGAGGAAATTCGCCGGCTTCTTTTGATGTCCCCAGGATTTAGGGTGCGATTTGTGGGTAGACAGAACAATAGGGTAGCCCATATGGTGGCTAAGAAGGCCCTGTCTTTGTTTCCTGCGGGTTGTAATAGGTTTGATTTTTGTGGGTGGCTTAGGTCACAGGCCTTGTAACTTTGTGTTCTTGTTTAATACAAGCTATCTTTTCAAAAAAAAAAAAATGAATTCCAATTCTACCATTCGCTGCATTCCTATACGAAAGCTACGCCTCCAAGTTTTCGCGGGCGAAAAGCTCCCCGAGCTTAAACCCACGGCAACCGGCGAAATCCAAAGCGCCGAGCTTTTCCAATTGCGCTGACACAGTCCGGCGGTGGCTCGTATGTCGTATCATCCTCAGCGGGAGATGACATGCACTCGAACTTATTCCAGATCACCTCCAAGATCGCATCGCTGTCCCGCTCAGGCTTCCTATGGCAAGCACGGAAACTGTTCGACGAAATGCCCAGCAGAGACACCGTGGCTTGGAACGCGATGCTCACCGGCTACTCCCAGCTGGGTCTACACCGGGAAGCCCTTTCTCTCTTCCACGACATGAGACTCAGCAACGCCAAGCTAGATGATTTCTCTTTCACTGCCACTCTGAGTGCCTGTGCTGGTCAGGGTTCTTTCCGCACTGGGACAAAAATCCACGGTCTCGTTGTGGTTCTCGGCTGTGGATCCTCGATCCCTGTCAACAACTCGCTTGTGGATATGTACGGCAAGTGTTTTGATCCTGGCAGCGCCAGTAACGTGTTTCGAGAGATGAATGGCGCTAATGAAGTTACCTGGTGCTCGCTCCTATATGCTCATGCGAATTCCGGTATGTTAACTGAAGCCCGACAAGTGTTTGGACTAATGCCTGAAAGAATAGATGTTGCTTGGAATATAATGATCTCTGGGTTTGGGAAGTATGGTGAAACTGAGTCTTGCTTGAATCTGCTCGGACAGATGCGAGAGAGTTCTTGTTGCCCTGATCAGTTTACCTACAGTGCCGTTATAACTGCTTGTGCTGAATCTCTGGACTTTGTACAAGGAACTGTGATCCATGCTGTTGTGATTAGAACGGGATGGAGCTCTGCCATGGAGGTGAAGAATTCACTGCTCGGGCTCTATGCAAAACTGGGTTCTTTGACTGAAGCTGTGAAGGTGTTCCAATCTCCTGGAATCCTAACACAGGTGTCTTGGAACGCCATGATTGATGCGTACATGAAATCCGGAGAAACACAAAAAGCATTTTCGGCATTTGGACAAATGCCCGAAAAGAATGCAGTGTCATGGACTTCAATGATCTCAGGGTATGCACAGAATGGATGTGGTGAAGAAGCTCTGAACTTCTTTACTCATATGGTTAGAGACGGTTTGCTTCCGGATGACTACACATTCGGGGCAGTCCTTCACGCGTGTTCCACCATGGCATTGATAGTCCATGGCAGGATGGTCCATGGATCTATAATGCACTCTGGTTTCCATACTTGTGCTTATGTTGGCAACGGGCTAGTCAACATGTACGCAAAGTGTGGCGATTTGGACAGCTCGATTATGGCATTCGATGACATCTACAAAAAAGATGTAGTATCTTTCAATACTATGGTATTTGCACTTGGCCTACATGGGAGGGGAAACCAAGCTCTGCAACTGTACGAAGACATGCTAGAGTCGGGATTAAAGCCAGATAAATTGACCTTCATTGGCTTGCTAATGAGTTGTAGTCACTCAGGCATGGTAGAGAAAGGTCGAATGCTCTTCGATTCAATGAGCTCGGTTCATTCGCTCTCCTATGACGTGGACCACGTTGCTTGTATGGTTGATCTACTAGGCCGGGCTGGATACTTGTCAGAAGCCAGAGACTGGGCTAGCAACATGATCAGTTCATGTGAAGCTTTGCTCGGAGCTTGTTCGGTGCATGGTGAAGTGGCCATGGCGGCTTCTGTAGGGGAGGGTATGAAATCTGTGCAGCCTGGAAACGAGACGAGCTATGTGCTGCAATCGAATGTGTATTGTGCGAGTGGACAATGGGAACAAGCGGAACTGCTTAGGAAGGCTATGGCGGAGGAAGGGTTGAAGAAACCGCCTGGTTGTAGCTGGATTGAAGTGGGGAATAAGTTGACGAGTTTTGTGGCGGGGAACTGTCAGGCAGTTTCGTGCAACGGGGAGCTGCGTGAGACTTTGTATTCGCTTGAAAATGAAATGAGAAACTTCGGGCGTTGTTGGCTTTGAGAAATGAAGAAAGAAATTGTGGAGCTCACCATCTTTTATGGTGGTCTAAAAGAGTCTAGCAAACCAAAATGATTGGGAGAGGGAAAAGGAACTGTTCGTGTCGAAGTTTACATATCATAACCTCAAAAGTCAAAACGATATATAAAACGTTCTTTCTCAGATAACTTTCAATTTTTTCCAAAATGTTGGCCACACTTTTGAAAATCTAAGATATTGGGTAACTTTTAAATTTTTGTTAACAATTTCGTTGGACGATGTTGAGCGGACAAACGTGATGCTGATGAAGAAGATTTCTTGTGACATAATGGTCAACCAAAAAAAATAATACAATTTATTAGGCAAATCTTTTAATTTTAGTAAAATATTAGTCAAACCTTTGAAAAATAAAATAATAATCAGCATCTACAAATATATAATAGCAGAATTGAGAGCGATATCTCATCATGTAAAATTTTCTCTAACGAGAGCGAAAGTAGGAAGGGTATATTTATCTTCACAGTTATTTATTTCTTATTCATAAAAAAGTATATCAATCTAAGGATTTGAACCATGTCAAATTAAATAAGGGCATGAATCATCGCCAATTACACTAAAGGAAGTTTATGTATCTTTCTAAACTAAACATATACAACAACCTAACAACGTAAAATCAGATGACCTGTCCACTACAGTTAGCTAGCCCATCAACTCTCTCGTAAGTATTTTTTAGGTGTTTGATATTTTGTTTTCATATTTCGATTATTTTAATTTGATTTTACCAATTAGTTTAGCTATTAGATAGAAATACATATTTCATATATTTTGAGAACTTTAGGATGCACATCGTAAATACGTTATATTCTAATGACATTTCGACCAAAGGGACAGGCATCAAACTAGTTAATAATATTGTAAACTTTTAGTTGTTAATTTGTTATTGTCAATACATTCACTCTCTTGAGTGCACATTAACAGTTGCTATGACAAATTTTAATGACATCCTGGATTGCACGATCGAGTTGGATACACGATATAGTACATTATGATTACAAAATCTGAAAAACTGTCGTTGAAGAGGGCTTGTACAGCCTCAGAGTCATAAGGTCTGGTGAACAAGATGTCGTTTGTCTGTCAGATAAATTTTGATTGGCACTAGTTCACCAGGCGGAGGAACTTTGAAGGAGTTGGAGAATTTTTTTGAAGAATAAAACTTTTTCAGTTTGTTTGTGTGTGGTTGAATTGCGGATCTGATTTTTATTTTTTAAAATTGATTCTTCTTTAATATAAAATTAATAAAAAGTGACTAAAGTTAATTGATGCGACCATTCCTCGTTGACCATCACAATACAGAAACTCCTCAAACTTTGCACCAAGCTTGCCAACTCAATATCGTACAAAGAAAGTGCTGACGAGAACTTAATAGTAATCTATTATTTTGTATTTTTAAAGATGTGGCTAATATTTTGTCAAAATTAAAAGGTTTGACTGATAAATTGTATCTGCTAAAAAAAAGAAATTGATGCATTTTGTTGGAATCTAACGTGAGAGTTGATGTGTAGCGTGGTCAACGATTAAAACTATGCGGTACCTAAAAAGGAAGATGGGCTGATATAATATATTTAGCCAAAATATATTGAAATTTGTCATTTAAAAAAAAATCACCATCCGTCTTTCCTAGGGCTGTAAGTTTGGTATCAGTATTTGGGATATACCGAATATCAAGAATGACAATGGGGCAGGTCCGGGGCGGGTATTTCGATAGACCCATACCCGCCCAGTGGCAAGTCGGGTAATTTATCATGGGGCGGGGTCGGGGCAGGTAGGAATGGCAACGGGCCAGGTTTGGGGCGAATCATAGTGAATCTGTGCCGTGCCCTGTCTCCTAAAACGATGATCCGCTCTGCTCCGTGCTCCGAGACGGGTCACCAAATTCTGATCCATTCACTACCCCGCACGGATCGGATAATACCCGCTCTGATCTGCCGCCTGCCTGTAATTACGTTTTTGTTGATTTCCCAACCAGTGGCGAAGTCGGAAGAAAAGAGGCAGATCAACAGAGGAGGAGTTTGATTTTCTGACTAGAGTCGGCGTCGGGAGAGGAAGCGGCAGAGCCGCATAGGAGGAAGGGAGTAGTTCTAAGGCTACAGACTTTTTTCTTCGTTCTATGAATTTGACCAAAATCGTTCATCGTCTCTCCACGTCGATCTGAAGAGCATCGAAGAGAAACCCCACCATAACTCTCGCAAACTTAGAGACCCTTCTACAACAATGCCCAAACTCTGGAGAAACCCAGTGGTGTAAAGCTTAAGAAAAGAATAAAGACATAGCCCAGTACAAAAAAAAATGTGCTTACGCCAAGGGTTTTTTTAACTTATACCAAGGGTTTTAACCCTTGCTACATGTAGTAGCAGGGGTTTCTCAACCCTTGCTAATGACCCTTGGCAAAGCCGCCCTTGCTACATATAGCAAGGGTTTTAGGCAATCCTTGGTGGAAGTCCTTTGCAAGGGTACATAGCAAGGGTTATAACCTTTGCTAAACATAACAAGGGTTAAAACCCTTGCTACAGATGGCTAAAATATACACAAATCAATGTCAATTATCGGTCGCTAAAAATCATTATCGTCGCTAGAAAATCCGTCGCTAATAGTAACTTACATGTAGCAAGGGTTTCCATTATCGGTCGCTAAAAATCATTATCGTCGCTAGAAAATCCGTCGCTAATAGTAACTTACATGTAGCAAGGATTGGAAACCCTTGCTACTTGCCGCTAAAATTAAAAGAAATCCACGTAATTGGTTTTTCTGCTAGAGAAACATTCTAGGGATAACATAGGTTCGATGAGAGTCCCTTATTGGCCAGTATTAACTTTATTATATAAAAAACCTACAAATGGTTGAACAACACAAATAATATTTTTTTTTTCCACCACAAATTCTATGATTTGTAAACGTACAAAAATATAAAACCAAAATCATTCATTAAACATTCTAAATAGTCTATGTTCTAACATGTTCTTCCCCGTCAATATCATCATTTCCATCCCCAAAAGAAGTTTTTGCTTCACGGTTCACTCCATTATTTGCCTAGCATCTTCTGCTGCTTTTGCTTCTGCATCTCTGCAGCTTCTAACGCACTAAGGAGAATCCAGAGAATGAGCTGTTGTATTCCATGCACAAATACAGAAGCATCAGTATTGAGATATAAAAACTCTAAATCCTGCTAATTGGGTTAGTAATGCTGCTACAAGTTATGATACACTCTGCAAAATGAACTGCCAAATACATAATACCTGTACACATCCCATTTGGAGATCTTAAATTCCTTCTAGAGAAGAAAGCTGCTTCACTTGTTCAAATGCGCAGGCTAGACAAAGAATCAACCAAAATGTCAAGATAGGGATTATTACTGGAATTTGATGGATTATTCACGAGGCTAGCATAAAGGTCAAGAACAAAAACGTGGGAATGTTATAAAGACACTGACTAATAATGATTAAGATGAGCTTCCAACAACTAACAAATCTGAACATGTGCCGAACTTATCTTCAACAATCCAGTGAATAGTGAACGGGTTTAAACCCAAATCCGGCCCAAAACCCGTCAACACGGATTTTACCCGCGTTGACCGATTTGGGTCGGGTGGGTACCCATGGGTTCGGGTTTTGTTGCCATCCCTAACAAGAGGTAAGATCATATTCTCAAAAGGGCCATAACTTGTATGCACCATCATTTCATTAATATAGACATACAACTAGCAGAAGATTCTTAGAAGGACCACAACCTACTACTACTCCCTCTCCTATAAGATTCACATTTCAGAAATAACAGTAAAAAATGTTTCCAAACTTTAAGTATTGCTGTTAAGTAACATTCCACTCTTCTTAATCTCCTAGAGTTTAAGTTCATAAGGCTTACCTTTGATTACTTCAGGCAATCTTTAAAAATCTGTTGTAGTACATAAAACTGTGTCCCCTAATGAAAGCTCTCTATAATATATCTTTGAAGAAGACTGGTCCCCCACAAAACTGCAAAGTGGAGCAAAGAATGAACTATGGAATGGAACTACTTGAGAAAAGAGTAAGTCACAAAAGATCTAAAAGAAAATTAGTAAAGCAAGGACCTGTGAGATTGTCATGAAGCCATTTGGAGTTCATTGAGACGTGAATGGCAAGTGGCTTGGACCTTGCAATAGACTGGTTTCTGTACCAGAAAGTACATGCTGCAGTAGTGGATCCAGGCCATAGTAACAAATACAGATATGTTAAACCACTCCCCCATTTAGTTAGGAGTCTTTTGCAAATTCTTGTTTGTTAGACTTATTCTTGTTCCTGTACACAGAAAGCATCAGCTGAGTTAGAGAAGCAACAAGTAGAATCACAATTTCATAGGTTTCTGGAGTCGCAAACTCTTGATCATACCTTCTGAAGTAAAAGTCTGTAGCAAAATGGAACACCCCCCAAATCCAGTAGATGACCTGAAATGGAGTTGGGTCTTCAAGTTAGGAACACGGTGAAGAGAAAGCTAGAGAAGAAAAATATGTATCAGTAATTAGAAGAAGAATGTGCAGCAGGGGGAAAAAAGATTAAACAGAAAGAACATGTCACACTGAACATTGTTTTCATAGCTGCAGCATTGTTATCTAGTGGTGTTCAACTTATAATTGTCCATCCAATTAGATTTCATTGTCTACCACTTAACAAACATTCATGTATCTTATCAGCAGCAGAGGAAATTCAGAAACTGAGCAGCAGTAAGAAACCAAAAATGCCTAACCTGCCCAGTAATCCGGTCGAGCTCTTTAATCAAATAAACCTTATGCTGCGAATTCTGCCATAACCTAACATCCACCAACCAATTGAGAGAACAATCGAAACCCAAAATTTATGCAATTATTCACCGGAGTAAATTGCGAGAGCGATTTACCGAGAGAGAGAGTGTGCATCATCAGGGCATTACCGCCCGGCGACGTAAATTCAAGCAAAATTAGCAAACATTGAGAACAACATAGTCGGGATCCTCGA